CTGGGCACTCTCGCCAACCCGTTCCTCGTCCGTCGTCCTGAGGCATTGCGGTATGTGTTCTATGAGCTTGGTCTGTGATGAGGGGTGCTTTCCCCAAATTTAGGACCCTTCTATGAACGAGCCTTTCCCTATGCGATTTGCACTGCGTATCTTGCCTCTCGCACCCTCCTCATCACTCTCCCCGAAAGCTGTCCTGGACTACCTATGCCTCGTTTGTAATTGGCACTTCCTCGACAGTATATCTTGCCCGAGACCCCATCGATCTTGGAAGATCTTGTCTCCATCTCACGATCCATCCTTTCATCTACACACACCACTTCCCATACCCATAATTCTAGCAACGTCTGCGCCAACTTCAACCCCGCATCCTGTCCGTCTCACACCGCCTCGCCAGCTCGCCATGTCATTCCACGACTTCAATCCCGGCCAGACCATTGCCGGCTGCATGGATCCTTCTCGCTTACAACATGATATTCTACAGATCGCAAAGGAGACACTGGACCTTCAGCTCAATAGCTTCCAGTCCGTTGTTGCTGTCTCTCAAAAGGATTACCTTGGTCTTGGCCAGGACGGGCAAGCATTCATGGCTTTCTACATGGGGTTGGTCTACCTTCAGCCTCAGTTCCTTCAATCGACATGCCAAACGCATCTAACCATACGTCGCAGACGGATTTTCAGGAAGCCCGTCATGTGGGCAAAGGATGGCATGGACGGCAACGCAGACAGATGGGTCCTCGGGCCCTGCGAGAAGTTCGTCTCTGGCCCCCACATGATCGTCTCGGTCAACGGCATCGCTATTGTTGTCCAACGGCCACCGAGCCACTTCCTTGAGGACGCTTCTGGTTCAGAAGCTGGCGCCCATTGCACCGAGAGCCCAGAGCCTGTTTGCAAAATCAAGGTTCCTCGACCTCCCAATGCCTTCATTCTCTACCGCAAAGATCGCCATGCCACCATGAAGCAGGAAAACAGTCACCTAAGCAACAACGATATTTGTGAGTACTTTGACTTGGTTCCCCTCGGGAACCGGCGCTGACCAACAACAGCCATTAGCCTAGGCAAGAAATGGAACAGCGAATCACCAGCCGTGCGCCAGAAGTATACCGAGCTTGCAAAGATGCACAAGGAGCGCCTCTTGATGATGTATCCCGACTACCGTTACACCCCTCGCAAGCCGTCTGAGAAGCGCCATCGAAAGCCTAGTGGCCAAAGCAAGAAGACCAGCTTAGCAGCGTCGATGAGGTAGAGGCCGCCTCCTACCCGAGAGCGACAAAACCATCAGCGCGCCGACTTGTCGGCTCCAGACGGAGGAGTATGAGTTATACCTACCGACTGCGACAAGTCGCTGTAGTATCAGTCATGGAACGGAATAGATATCGGCGCTGCCAGACCACCTTAGGTCGTCCTTGTGTTCTAGACTGGCAGCATCAGCGACCAGAGGAGCCTCAGGACATGGCGCCTTTGGAGGCTGTCTTCGATCTCTATCCAGTCAGCGTGACCCAGGAGGCGACCACGCATCTGGTCGTCGATTCACTTCCCGCATGCTGTGGCAAGAGTTACCTGCGCGAGAAACCAACAGACCTTTGTGCGGCGATACTTAGACGTACGAACGCTAGGAGATCACCGGATCTGAGGAACCAAGAATCATCCTGGACCATCTGCTTCGATGGCAACGCGAAGCAGAGATCTTCGATTTGATGAACATATTGGTGCAAAAATGTACTCACAACCCATGTATTCGCATATCAAGCGAACACGAATCTTTTTCTGTAATTATAATCTGCAAGCCAGTAAATATCATCTTCATGGACCATCTATTCCAGCCCGATACCTAGAGTGTCTTTTGCCCCCCGCCATGAGGACCATTGATTCGCCCACATGTTGCTCTTCGCCACTGCAGACTGCCAACGCCATCCATGATGCCCAGCCACTGTCTCGACTGTGCATCACGGGAATAACTACGCCTGATCTTTTTTCCAGTCGCTGCTCCAGATGAACGTCCCGCATCTCCACTCCGTCCCCGATTCTTTGACTCCCGACTTCCCCAACGGGCGGGCACATACGTAGAATGATCTCCCTGTACAGATCGTCAGTACCCATTGCACCAATCACGACCCCCGGCATTCGCCTAAGTTTTCCGAATAAGGAAGACGTTGCTTGGATAGATCTCACCACAATTGATGCCGGGCTTCTTGGTCTGGAAGCTGACACAAGGCTCGCCGTGTTCGCATTTGGGCACGACCCTCTTGCCCAGGCTGAACTTGGACCACGCTTCTTTGGTCTCGATGGGATCAAAGACCTTCTCAGAAGTTTCGGTAGCCGACGGGTCCAGAGTTGATGCCGGCTGTTGCTGTTTGCTGGGCAAGGGCGAGGTCAACGGCTCCGCAGCCGCAGGGACCTCTGCTACTGTTGAGAGGGAACCGGCTAGCACTGCAGCCTTGTTCTCCTGTGACTGGTCCTCGGGACCATTGTTCTTGTCGCTGGAATCGAGGATGATCTCGCTGTCTACGTGGGCGCCTGTCGGCTTCGCAGCCGGGGCCTTGGGTTTGAAGAAGCCAGTCAGAGTGCTCTGCTTGTTTGTCTTGGAGTCGTTGTCGTTCGTCTTTGTTCTCTTCAGGGACCGCTTTGTGTCTTTCGCTTCGGTCTGCCTTTTTACGGGGGCAGATGAGGATGGAGGTAACGTTCTATCAGCGACGCTCGGATGTATCTTGCTCGTGTTCGACAGGGCAAAGGTTTGTGAGGGAGGATCGTCGGGAACATTGGTAAATAAGGGGCTCTTTGGCTGTTGAGAAGGGGTATCTTTGGGGATGGAAGAGGGAGGGGTATCGGTCGTTGGCTTTGTGGTCGGCTTCTTCATGAACATGTCTCGTATACTTCGTCGCTTGTCGAATTCGGGGATGAGCTTCGCGGAAAGAGGGAGGAGGTCCTTTGCGGCCCACTCTCGCAGACGGTCGCCCTGTCGAAACATGTCGCTCGGGTTCATCAGATCGACGATGGGAACCTGCTTGTCGTCCTTCTTGACCACATCCCCGATGATTGCGTATACCGGGCAGTGATCCGATCCCATTAGCCCCTCTTGGATGTTCGAATCCGTGAACCAGTCCTTGATGCCCGACGAGCAGAGAACGTAGTCTATCCTGCTCCCGTTGTTGGCTGGGCGGGTGTTCCGCTTGGTATCCCAGCAGGTGAACATGCCCTGTCGGTCGGGGTGGAAGATGCGCGTCAGGTCGTGTAACACAGGCTCCTCCCGCCCCTCGTCCCGGGCTCCGGTAACATTGCCGCCGACGACCAGCTGGTTGAAAATGCGTCGCGACGGCATGCCCTTCCAGTCCTCGACCGTCATGCCCTCCTTGCGGAGCATCTCGCGCAGGTTGCAGGTGTCCAGCTCCTCGAGGATGACGTTGAGGTCGCCCGTCAGGATGACCTCCTTGCCCTGCGCGACGAGGTTGCGCACGCGCATGTCGAGGGCGTTGAGGTAGCCGAGGCGGAAGTCGTCGCGTGAGGAGTCGCGCGTGGCGGGGCTGTAGGTGCCGATGAGCACGAAGGCGGGGAACTCGAGGACGACGCAGCGGCCTTCGGAGTCGAGGGTCGCGGCGTCGACTTCGGAGGACAGCTGGCCGGCGCGAGGGTACCCGCCGATGTGCTGGTCCGGGGGCAGGTCGCGGTAAGGGATGGAGGAGCCCGGCGGGGTGAGGACGCCGAGGATGCCTTCTTCCGCGCGGATGGGGGCGCAGGTTGCGTTGCGGGTGTAGATTGCCACGCCGGAGTATCCTGGGTGTGTTGGTCAGAGGTGAGAGAACAGGGCGGCTGCGGGGGAGGTGTTACCTTTCTTGTGTTTTGGCAGGCTGAAGAAGACATCCCAACCGGGGACGAGGACCATCTCATCTGTGAGGTCTTTTCGCTGGATTTTACATTCTTGCATGATTACAATGTCCGCCTCAAGGATGTCGAACATTGCCTGGGCAGGAGGTCAGGGAGGGATGCAAGTGAGGATGGGGGCGTCGGACCTGGTATGTTCGCTTCTCCCGCCATGGTTGGTATCCGAATGGGTTTCTGAACTTTGTTAGGCTGGCTTTTTATGGGCGTGCATATGGAGGCTTTCAAACCTGATGCCGTTGACTTGAGATGAGTTAGCGACGCCGGCCTTGAAGGGACACCAGATGTGCGCTCACTCACCGTTCCATGTCACGATGCGAAGCCCCATTTTGACGAACAGTCGCTCTTGAAGTTGAGCTCTGCAATTCTTAAATCAAATGGGTATCGCTCAAACGCCGGTATCACCTCGCTTCAACATCAAAAAAATCCCAGAGATGCCGAGTGACGTCGATGGAAGGACCAATACAGAGAAGATGCAGAAGCGAGCGGCGAGTCAGTGACTAAAAGAGGAACACAGCCCAAATACTGGCGCCTTTTCGTTCACGAATGCGAGAAAGTGAGACCAAGGCGTCTGGCTGGAGCAACTTCGCCCTCGACCGCTTACACGTCGTGAGTGACCGCGCGACGTCGCTGCCGTCATGGACGCGGCACGACCTTGAGGCGGTGTCACGTGACCCAATACAACGCTGCTTCAATTCAGCAATTGGCGTCCTTCTGATGACAATTCAGTCCATTATTTACACCCAAGAAGCAAGCGAAAACTCAGGTTCGAATTACGCCAATTTTGGGTTTCCCTTTTGGTAAACTCTGACCGTTTGCAGGGGGTTAAATGCCTTGCTCACCCAGGAAACCAGTTCCTACTTCCTCCGCAAATGACCTGACATCATTTAGTCATCCCGCAAAGCCCGCCCACCAAAAAAAGAGAGAGCGACAGATCCCTGCCCTCCATCTCTGCCTAACAATCCAGGCCACAAACCCGGCCATCACCAGCACCGGTTCCCGCTAACCGAGCTCCATGACCTGATTCCCGTCCCGCAACGAACCTCAATCTTCACCACCGCCGACCGACGACCGAACGTCACAAAAATCTCCCCTCCACCACCCACACCGGATACCGCACACACACCATGAGCGCCCGCCTCTTCTCCGCCGCCGCGCGCAGCGCTGCCCGCGCCCCGGCCGCCCGCTCCACCGTCCAGCGCCGCTTCGCCAGCACCGACAACGCCTTCGTCAGGGAGCGCGAGGCTGCCAAGCACCACGCCGCCGGCACCACTGGTTCGTCATATCATTCCTTCTGCTGTTGTGCGGGATTGCGAGAGGAGAAGAGAAGAAAGACATTGGGGACGGAAGCCAATTGGGCTTGTGGGGAGGAAATCGATTGAGTGAAATATAGAAATGCTAACGACCGTGAACAGAACTCTGGCGCAAGATCTCCATCTAGTATGCCACCCCCCTCCGGCCCCTCGAAGAAAATCAGCCCCTCAGATTGAGTGAATCCCTACGCCGTCGAAGAAATTGTTGATGCAGGATGTTGCGACGGAGGAAGTGTCGGAACTCCCATAGGGATTGGAGGGGCATGAATCACGGACTCGACGGCACGCGGGATTTGTCAATCGGAGATCGAGGGAAACCTTGAGCCAAGGAGATCGTGGGCTGACCATTTTTGTGTGTGTGATACAGCGCCTGCATTCCCGCCCTCGCCCTCGCCGGCGCCAACGCCTACGTCCTCTGGAACGAGCACTGGGAGCACTGGAGCCACATGCCCCCTCTGGAGGAGCGCGTCGAGTACCCCTACCAGAACATCCGCACCAAGAACTACCAGTGGGGTAACGGTGACAAGACCCTCTTGTACGTATTCACCCCTCCTGCGGGCTATGAGAGACGGGGCGAGTGTGCTAACGTAGTCCACAGCTGGAACGACTCCGTCAACTACCACAACAAGGACAAGGCTTAAATTGCCAGAACTCGGGCACCAGAATGCGTGAACTCGCATCGGGGAGGGAGCGATCCATAGACTCAGGACACGCTTGTTGGGGGGTAGACTATTCTGTACATTTTCCCTACGTCACAGCAATCGAAGAGATGCGGCCTTAAAGAAACCCCCATTGCATTACTTATGCACCGTCCCAATGCAAATGAACTCTGTCGGTCTATAGCCTATGATACCGAGAGCGAAGCAGCGCTTCTCCGTAACGCTACATATGCGGCCGCATAGTCGGCTGCGAGGACCTTGTCTCCCGCCACCTTCATGATGGTGGCCTTCTTGGCCATCATCTCACACTGCCGTGTGATGTCCTCGATGCTGGAATAGTAATCAAACGCCTTTTGGATGGCGCTGGTGGCTCGAGTCAGATATTCTCTGCGCTTCGCTGACTGTGGCGCCATCTTGCCTGCCATGCCCATGTTGGCGTCTGCGAGGAAGGAATATAGCTGTCCTGCCAGGGCCGCCGAATCACACTCGAGGCTGCGTGGGAGGATGGCGTTGAGCAGCTGGATGGAAGCCTCGAACTCTTCCAGCGACGTCAGGATGTTGGCGATGGCACCAATGGCCTGCCACAAGCTCGCTACCAGCCTCGACCTCCAAGCCATGCTGGCGGCCCGCATGGCGATGGTGAACCCTCGCTGTGGCCGACCACACTTGTCGTAGAGATGGACTTTGAGCAGCATCAGCCTCACGCGGAGCTGGATGTCCCTCTTGTCGTCCCGAAGCGAGGCAAGCATGCTTTCTACCTTGGAAAAGGCTTCTGGCAGGTTGCCCCGTCGGATGAGGCAGTCGACGTGAAGGAAGTCGATGACGAAGGCCATGTCCACCTCGAGGTCGTCTTTCTTCGACTGTAAAAGTTGGGCGAGGAGCTGCTCCGCGCCATCAAGGTTGTTATGGTGCAAATCTCTCCTCAGCTTGATGATTCCTCGGTACTTGAACCAGTATTGGTTCGGCTTCCAAGCTCGCAACGCGTTTTCGTCCAAGGTCTCCATCTTTTGCAGCGCCTCGTCGAATTTGCCCCTTGCCACGAGCTGTTGAGCTAGGCGAGCCGTGATCTTCAACTCGTCCTCAAAGGTCGAATGCCTTGCGTGACAGCGAAGAAATATCTCGCAGTTCATGGCCGAGAGCGACGCGAGACCGATCCTGTCCCACAAGGCAATCATGATGGAAAGCTGACCCCCAAACATGCTCTTCATGTTCCGCTCGACAACCAGGTGCGAGCTGCGGACCATGAGCTCGATGGACGTGGCCACACTCTCTCCGTTTGCGAGACCGAGCTTTGCCTCGCTGAGAAGCACTGAAGCCCATAGCATCCACATTCCCGTCTCCTTGGCCTTGACTCGCAGGTAGGCAAGGCTCTCCTTCGCTGTACCCAACAGACTGTCCGCTTCCAGGTCCTTAACCAGATCTGGATGGGCCATACCGAAGTGGAAGAGCCAGCTAAGGGCGAAGTTCAGGCAGGACATGTCGCGGTTTTCGCGGGCCGTGGATACGGTCTCGAGCATCGCGGCCACGGCTTCTTTGTAGCAGCCAAAGTCTGCCTGAAGCACGGCCAGGTTCATTAGCGCGTATTGGTAGAATGCTCTGTCCCGGTTCTGCATTGTGTAGTCAAAATACTGGTGGAGGAAATCGAATGCTGTGGGGTAATCGCCGGATTTCCACGCGTCCAGAAAGCTGTCAAAGGTCAGCAACCTAGCTGCAGCAGGAAGGGCAAACGAGACGAACCTCAAGTAATGCCTCAAGCTGGGTACCAAAAAGCTGTCGCCCAGAAGGTCATGGAATTGGTTGCGGAGTTCGAGCGGTATTCGTGTGCCGAATTCTGGTCTGGTCAGCTATGCTTCGGGCTTCTCGACGCGATGGACTGACTCTGCATCTGATCGATTTGAAACTCCAGTAGGAGCTCAATATCATCTGTACTGACTGGAATAGCAGAGGGCGTGCCGCTTGACACCATGTCCCCGTAGACAACAGAAGTCAGCGCCGCCACACCCTCCGGATCCCAGTCCGCCTGGTCTCCTGTCATGAGCACATTGTCGAAGCTCAGCCGTCCGAATGACGGATTCCTCCGACGCAGGTATCCCGCCGTGGGTTGTCGGTACTGGACAAAGTCTGTCCAAAGTTGCGTCACATCATGAAATCGCAGTCGTGAGAACTCTAGCTGACTCCTCCTGACAAATTGCCCGAGGGGCGAATTCCTCGACAGCGTGATGCCCGCCCGTTTTAGTTGCTCCTGTGCCGCCGCATCACCCTCAATCCCAAGTCGGCGCAGTTCCTCTTTCGTCTTGACCAGGCATTTGGATTGCCGACCAAAGAATTCATGGAGTGCATCCAGAGAGTTGATGTCCCATAGCTTTGCAAGGAACGTGTCCCACAGCTTTCTCCCGGGCAGACCGACGACAACGGAGTGAGCGCTGAGTAGCTTTTCGAAATCCTTAATGCCGATGACAAGGCTGACGGTGCTCTCTGCCTTCTGCCAGCGATTTTCTATGCTGGCGGCGGTTGTCAGACTCTGCGGGTCTGGGTCGAGAAGACGGGATGTGATGAAGGACAGGACCGGGATGATGGCTGTGCTGGGGACGTGTTCGTCTGTGTAGAGCTCGACGAGGGCGAGGAGGCCAATCTTGGCTGGCGTGAGGTAGCGCGCCATGGCGTGCCCTCTTCAGTGCGAAAATGCTTTGGTCTCGCTTCGGGATGAAGTTTCGAATTCAATCATCTAAAGTTGTGCCGATAATCGTCAGGGTCGTGGATGACCATGTTTTGGAGGTTCCAGGCAAGTGAAGGCGGTAGGCGCGTCGGGACCGCGCCAAACGAAACGCCCTTGAGCAGGAGCTGAACCAGCGCGTTAGGAACGTGGCAGCTTCTTCTGCCTTGTACAAAACAGTGATCTTACGACTTTTCGGCGCCTTCCACCTTCACTCAAATTACCGGTCGTGATGCGATGAGTGAGTTCCTGAGTGATGCTTCGAGGTCCACACTGTGACCTTGGCGGGGTATGATTGGTCATAAATGCCGGGGAATAACACCGTCATTTTGACCAATCATCAACACAGCTATCCTCTCTTAAGAAAGTGGAAATTCCTCCGATGATGGTCATAGGAGCACCTCTGAGCGGGATGATAAAATGGTAAAAGATTTACGGCAAGTGTTTCCGATCATCTTTATTATCACCCGATTGGAATGTTTGGGGTTGTTCCAAGAGCATTGATCTTCGTTTGGTATTTTTACAGAATATTTCTACACTGTCCAATCCAGCTCCAAGCATGCCATCAGTCGTCTCTGAGCTGCCCATGCTGCATCACTGGCAACTGTCTCTCAGACCTGCCTGCCAGCTCCCGCCGGCGATCTAGACGTGAGCAAGCAAGCTCCGTACTTGCAAGTTCTCCCAAGCTCCTCGTGCACCCTTCTGCAGGACTGGCACATCACCTAATTGACCACCGGATACTCTGCCCCTGCTTATTCCTCAACTCGCTTTCTCTCGCTTGCCTGGCCTTCTCCGTAGCAGCCGCATCGGCTTCCGCCTCTGCCGCCTCCGCCTCCTCGACATCGTTCGTAGCCCATATCCTCTCGATGCAGAGCTCAAACGGCCCCGGCCTCCGATCCGTGAGTCCAACGCCCACAGTCGTGACCTTAGACCTCAGCATCTCCGTCTGCGGCTCCACCACGAACCCGTGGTTCGTCCGCACAAAGTCGTTCCACTTGACAAACACCGTCTCCCACTCGCCCGGCCGCTTCGCGAACAGCCTGTGCTGGTGCAGATCCGTCGGTACGACCGAGTCCGTCTGCAGGTTGATGAAGTAGCTGCGCCCGTCCGACTTGACGCGCATCGCGAGGTATACGTAGGGGTCAATGTCCCATAATGACTTGCCGAACACCGTGGGCTGCTGGTTGGGCGTGCGCCATGCCGCGAAGCCTGTGCGCTGGATCTTGGGGTCGTCTTTCGGTAGGGCGGTGGATATCGTGCCGTGGAAGCGGGCGTAGCCGGTCCTTGTTGGTGGTATGCTTTCGGAGGGCTGTGTCGGGGAGGTTGATGTTGAGGGGACCCAGTCGAGGGCGACCTCGGAGAAGCCGCCGATCTCGCGGTCGGAGAGGAGTTTGCAGTCTTCGGTCGAGTTGGGTGCGCGGAAGTCTTGGAGTATGTAAGGGCCTTGCGCGCCTTTTATGCCTTCTGCTTTGAAAGCTGCGACGGACGAGGGTTAGTGGGGGCCGACGAGCAGACCTGGGGGCAGGAGGAGCTCACCAATGGTCGCGCTTCGCTTGAAATGATCCAAACTCCGAGCCCAGAAGCCCTTGCCCATGAGTGATGGTGTTGCCCGCATCTTTTTGGTATTTTGCCGGCGTAGCCAAGGCGTTTGGTGGTGTGGTTTTTGGAGCCGAAGCTCAGTCTGTGATGCGCCACCAGTCGCGGGGCTTGTTTCTTCGATCCCTCTCGCTGGGTAAATTCCGTGCTTCGAATCGCTGGGGAGCGCGGGATTGAATTTTCGTCGGGTACGCTCGAAATAGTTCGTCGGCGAACTTGAGAGATCTTCAGTTGCTTCCTTCAAGCTCCGAGGATGTACAAGGGTACATGGAGCTGAAGCTTCTCATCGGGATAAATATGGCCCGCGCTACGGCTATTTGACGACATCAAGACTCCCCGATTTCAACCTAGATGTCAACACCATATGACTTCCAAGCCGCAGGGAGCGTTCAAGCTCTTCATGATCTGTGCTGTATGACCCAATTCGCCGGATCAAACTTTGGATTAGTTTGGGCGGAAAGAACCCCCCAAAAATGCGTTTCCATCACATCACGCTGGGTCGGTGCCAGGTCTCCCATATCTGCAGCCGTGCTGGCTCTTGAACCATCCCGATAGCTTCAGAGACGAAGATGATAGCAATCTTGCAGCATATTATTATCCGTGGACCGAACTTTGCGCTCGCAAACAGGCTACGACACCCGCAAACGTCCTGGTCACGAGATCAATCGCACGGAAGCTTTTACTCAAGACTGTATTGCTAACTAGATGAAAGTCGGCCTGACATCGAGAGTAGACAAAGTGCTCTTTGGCACAAACCAAACCTTCTATGACTCCATTTTGTTTCCATTTCTCTATTACCGAACCTTGAATCCATCAACCATTACCCTGTGTCACAAGAAAAAATCCCATCTGACCACACACCAAATCCCAACACCAATTTTGTTTGTTTATGGTTTGTAAACCACGAAAGAAGGAAAGAAAGATGAGATTTGTCGAGCAATACGATTGGGTACCAGTCGATTTGGAACCGAAATGTTGGATTTCCGAATAATAAGCCGATGTGTAAGTAGTCGAATGATTGATTCGGATCGTGGAAAACCGAAACTTTTGGGAAAACCGACAACTGGAACCGGAATGATTGAAAATCGAACAAGAGAAAGTGGCCTAAGCCTGGGTGATGCTGTTGTCAGTCATGACAGGCTCAGACTGGGTGACCTGGTTGGCCTCAACCTGGGGACCAGTGGGAGCGACGCCGTTGGAGCGAGCCGGGGGAACAGGGCTGGTGAAAGCCATGAAGGCGGCAGGGTCGACAGGGAACGGGGTCCAGAGAGGAGTTCCGTGACCGTAGCCCCAGAAGGGAGCACCAGGGGAAGGCTGAGGAGTCATGAAGCCGTAGGCAGAGCCAGGACCCTGAGAGAAGGGACCCTGGGAGAAGGGACCCTGAGAGAAGGGAGTGCCCATGTAGGAGCCAGACTGGGGCACCATGGGGGTGTTCATCTGAGGAACGGGGGGAGGGCCCATCTGCTGGTGAGGATGATGGCCCATGGGAGTGCCCATGTGCTGCTGGTTAGGGTGGTGACCGATGGGAGTGCCCATGTGCTGCTGCTGAGGGTGAGGACCCATGGGGGGAGCCATGTTGAACTGCATCTGTCCCTGAACGGGAACCTGGACCTGAGCAGGAACCTGCTGGGCAACATAGTTCTGAACCTGGTTAGGAACCTGGTTCATGACGGGGCCAACCTGCTGCTGCTGGGTCTGGGCAGGAATCTGCTGAACGTGCTGGACTTGCATGCCGTTCTGGTGCTGAGGGGTCTGAACAACGGTGGGCTGCATGACGTTCTGGGTCTGAGCCATGCCAGAGTTCATCTCGTTGCGGAGAGGAGTCTGGCGAACGGGAGTGTTCTGGACAGCATCCTGGCTGAAGCTGGTACCGGCCTCGATAGCCAGAGGACCACGCTGCTCGCGAGCGGGAGTAGAAGGGGCTCTGCCGCCCATGTTGGAAGGGCCAGCGCCGTTGAAGCCGTTGCCATGGAATCGGCCAGGGGTGTTGGAGACACCACGACGGTTCTGGTTGGTGCGACGCTCGACGCGGATGTAGTAGCCCTGGATATTGTTGTTATGCTTCGAGGTGTCAGTCATCCATCTTGGTAAGTTGTCAAGGGAAAGGCGAATACTTACATAGCGCTCGATGGCCATCTCAGGGACGGTCGGGTTGGTGAACTCGACGAAAGCGATGAGCTTGGGTCCCTCTATTCATGTGTTAACTTGACTCTTGGGTATGGAAAGGAAAGGGAGAAATGGCAGCTTACCGCGGTGGTAATCAAGGCGCTTGACCTGAACGGAGACGACGCTGCCAACGTCCTCCATGAGAATGCGAATGTCGCTCTCGGTAAAGTTGAGAGGCAAGTCGCCGATGAAAATGGAACGACGGTCGCGGTCGTAGGTGTCGAGGTACACGCGCTCAGGGTTGCGAGACCTGGCCTGCATAGCCTTCTTGAAGTCGTAGGCTTCGACATGGTAGACTCTGTTCAGGCGGAAAGCCTTGAGAACCTGCTGGGTAGAGTCGAACTCCTTGAACTGGACGCGGATCGTGACGGGCAGACGCATCTGCTGCTGGATCTCGTCATCAAGGAAGCGAGCGGTCTCGAGATCGCCGAAGGGAGTGAGCAGCTCGTTGGCCTCCTCGACGGTGATCGCAGTGCGATTGCGACGGTAGATGATGTAAGTGCCTGTGTCAAGAGTTAGTATGGGAAAAAGATGAGGCAGGAAATGGCAACGTACGGTTGGCGCGCACAGTCTCGGTGCGGCAAGGACGGCCAAGGATCATGGCACCCTTGCCCTCGATGCGGGCCTCGTTGGCGTTCTCGTCGTTCTTTGATTGAAGTCAGTACGTTGAGGAGGTAATGCGAAACGACGAAGGAAGTACTTACGGTGAACTGGACGAAAGCGAACGGCATTCCGTTAGTGTCGCGGCGAATCTTGACAAAAACGACGCCGAAGCGCTGGAACTCCTTGGTGACCGCAGCCTCGAGAGTGTAGTCCTCACGATGCTCAGGGAGGCTGTAGAGGTTAGCAGAGGACCGATTAGACCTCCTGAGAATACTTACTTGGCAACGAAGATGCAAGCAGTTGCAGGCCAAGTAGCCTGAGGGTCAACGAGCTTGTTGCTGGCAGAGCGGGGCTTCGTGGGAGAGCCCTCGTCGTAGTTGCGACGAACGACGTCCTTGCCCTTGAAGCCGGCCTGCTGAATGTGGCTCTGGTTGAGCTTGTAGGCAGAGGAAGACATGCCCAGGGGCTTGTCGTCGGCGGAGCTGTCGTTGAAGACATCACCGTCATCCTGAGCAGGGCCCTTCTGGGCGTGACTAGGAACGAGTTAGCTGAGGTCGAAGCGAACGATCAGAAGTGTTGACTTACACAGACAAGGTAGCAGTAGCCGACATGGTAGGGCGCAGAGCCTTGCCAACGGCCTCGGAGCGGCGAGCCAAGCTGTTGGGGCTTCCGCGAAGGGAAGACACGTCCAGGCGGACACCTGTGATTGACATGTCAGTATTTTCCATCGCGAAGGAAGCGAAATCGCGTAAGATGGAAGATCGCATCATCGAAGCTATCAAAACAGAGAGGGGGAAAAAAAAAACAGAGGGAAGCTTACCACCGCCGCGCTCAGGGTCGCGATCCTCGGACGAGGCCGAAGAGAAGTCAGGCGACTTGCTAGCCGAGACAGACAGGTTCTGGAGGCCGTAGACAGGCTCAGCCATCTGGGAGGCCGCAGAACCAGCCATCGAGGCCTGCTCAAGCTCGTGCTGGAAAGAGAGCTTCTGGAGCTGCTCGAGGAGCTTTCTGTTATCGGTAGAACCAGACATGATGGACGATCTTGGTTTTTTCGCGACGCAAAAAAAGATGCAGCGAAGTAGTCAAACGAAGCTCGTGAAGCTGGGGATGCGCGAAGAAGGGAAGGATTTGGGTAGATGGAGATGGAGAGATGGATGGAGTAAGATGGTTAAGGTGGAAGAGGGTAAATGGAGGTGGGTAAGTGTGTGTGGGAGAGAGATGGGGAGTTGGAGAGGCAAGGTAGGAGATGGGTTGCTTTGGGGAGGTAGAGAGACCAAGTCTGGGGGTGGGTAGGGTTTCAGAAACCAGCTGGGTGGTGGTGGACGGAGGGGATATTCCAATATCTCAAAACGTGGGCTACATAGGGCTTCAATCGTGGTTAAGAGAGCTCTCGGCGTTTATGATAATTACAAGAATGGCGAGAGCAGCCTCCAGGGAGAGAAGGCCCGCCAGCTCTCGCCCTCTGTGAGATCAAGAGTAGTGGCACTCGCCTTTTGAAGCAAAAGAGATTCGGTCTGTGTTGGTCACGATGGTGGCAGAGGTGGTGGTGATTGGCTCTTTCAGAGGTGACTTAAGGGTCACACGCGCTGAACAGCCCCTGAGGTGTTTTGCACTAATGTTGGTGCTGGCCGGAGCACACCTCCGAGTTTGTGGGCCCTCCGAACCGGTAGTAGTCAAAGGACCTCCGGTGCCTCCGGGCATGTGGGTGCAGAAGTTCACAAAGTGGGGTGAACAGCCCTGGTGCTTTGTTGATATCAAGGCAAAAGAGTAGAATGGCACTTGGATCTTCACCCTGGAATGCAATACTTCATCATCCAGCCTTTGTTTATGCAGACCCCCATGAGCTGGCCCAAAGCACTCACTTCTTTGCTGGCTAATCTTCTTATTCATGAACTGGAGATAGATAAGTTGTGGTATGTCTTTTGCTCCTTGGAAGGCTATGGAGTTCCTGAGTCTGCTTGTTTATGATTTGGGCGGCTATCAGATGAGCTGCAGGTGCTAGTAAATCCTTCCGTCTGGGCCTTCACTCGCTGCATAATTGTGGTTCAAATTATTGAATAAGACAAGAGACTGTAGCTGGTCATGATGGAGGCAAGATTGTCGCTGTTTGTCATGACCGCAGAAGAACTATGCTGTCAGAAATAAGCTGCCTTGATCACACAATGACGAAGAAACGAATGCTGTTGGGTGTGAGGAGAGGTTTAGTCACTTATGTTGACGCGATAAGACGATGCGATGTTGACCTTCATTGAAGCCAAGAAAACCCATCGTGTTGGTTGTTATGGATATGGAGCAAATTGGGAATTAAAGATAGCGTCAGGTTTGGAGGCACGGGTTCTGAATATCGGAGTTATAGATGGAATTTCAACACTGGCGGTCAAGTCTTACGGATCCATAGGATGATGTGCAAAGCCTTGCGTCAAGTAAAAATCTCAGGTTTCGACGAAGTCAGGCCAAAGCTGAAGTATCTAGCCACCGATACCCGGCCTGGGCAGGCTCGAAGATGTCTCCTCGGGAATCTACTCAACATCGTAACTCTGCCATGCTTCAGACTTGACCCCCCTCGCCTTCGTCCGTGATATCACACTTGTTGTTCAAGCGCATCATCGCTGCCTGCTAACCTGACATATGTTTCATTTCCTTGCGAGATAAGGAAACAAAAGATCCTATGCAACGAGGGAGAAAACAGTGTCAAAAAGACACGAGGTAGAGTAATGGTGACAGAGACGGCGACAGAGACGGCGAACTTGACGGCAATGACAACTATGGGAAATATGTAGCGCTACGCGCAAGTAACAATCCCCATATTTGGGGCTCTCATGTTTCCTCTCAACTAGTGGCCGCGTCATGCACTCTTCCAAGAGCCACCTTGGAGTTTGAAGGTTGAGACGCGAGAGATGACCAACAATGGGCTGTCTCTTGGATAAATGCGTCACGTAGAGGCTTCTTTCCTTCTATTCTATCGGTCTACAAAGCTGAGCACCGTTTGGTTGCGGGACATGATGAGTGCATGGTGGCCGTCGGTTCTCGTCCGACTTGCGCGGATGGATGGCTAATCAGTGCCTTGAGGCGGTATTGTCGAACATGTGAACGGGCTCGAGTTGAACAGCTGAGACATATACCATTCCGGAGTTGATTTTCCACTGCGAGGAGGAAAGTTTCGTGGCTTAACTTTGGTACTTATCCATCCAGCTTTTGTCCTTGACGTTGTCTTCCACTGCAGACATAACACACCGTCGGACTTGTCGGGGAATCTGGGAATCTGGGAATGTGCTCAGAGGCCTTCAGGTAATCAGGTTCATCCAATTCAGCGTCCTGCAGCTTGGCTTACATTCGACAGTCGATTCCCAATACGGAGGTCAGCTACCCAACGATTGGCTCCGCAGCTTCATCTCTTGGCGGGTGGGCATTCCCAAGCACAACCGTCTTTCGACTCCAAGGTTTACGCCCCTCGCTTCTGAGCCACTTTTCTAGCCCGAAAAGACCAACTATTCTCGATCCCAGTCTTTGACGTGAACGTTGGAGAACCGTGTGTTCGGGACCTTCTCCGCATCTCCAAAAACCCTTGTCACAGCGAAGCTAGGAGGCAAGTACCGGTCCCCGGATTCCCCAGCCCTGGGATGTTTCTCCCCCCTCCGGAATTGGTTTTCCTCCTCCCGGTCTTCAAGCTCGCTCATGTTCATCCGAGCCCAAACATGCGGAACGATGTGACCGCAGCATGTATGCCACACCATGCGCCTCGATGATTCAGTGTCTTGTCTTTTCTGAATGCCACACGCAGGGTGGTAGCCAGGCTACCTTACCCAACCCTTCGAGTCCGACTGCCCCTATGACATGAGGACTGGTGCTCACTGCTCACTAACACCTGCCCTACGACACGAAGGCTTGGTGAGCTGACTGGATGTCATCCTGGCTGCGCCATCGCCTTGTCTACTTCAAGCCACTGCACGTTTGTGGCCCGCACTAAATCGCATCGATGGAGGTCCATCTCGAGTACGCGGATCCAAGCGAGACAAGTCCTGACTAAAAGACGCTCTCTCAGCCACTGGTCTAGCCGATGTCTCGCCCTAGAGCGCCCGAGGAATGCGACGTCCCAAGCCTATCTATCTTCTGTACCACCTCAATGCTGCTAGTTTCACTCGTGAATGCACAAGAGCCCAATCGCCCTGGACTCTTCATCATCCATGTCTCCAGCCTCTCACCTGCCTTGGGGAGGAACCCCCCCTGAATCACCCTTTCTGCCGACCACGACTTCCCCAGATCCCTGGATTCCGGGGTTGCGTGGGGAAAGGATAACCATCCTTTCCCTTGAACTGGGGTAGCACATTCCGGCGATCCATACGTTTGGATGAAGGCGTCCGTCTGCTGAGGGGAGGGTAGCCGTGCTATTTAATATTGGTCAACGTCCCAACTCCATGGTAGCGAGACCCGCAGCCAGCAGCCTGGATCTTTTCTTCGCTGGATCTGAAGACTCTACACGTCCAAAGATCTCCGCCGATATTCGATCTCCAGTCTCAACAGCCATGTCTTCCTCTGACGGGCAATCCGGCACAGAGGCCAAGGAGCCTAATACGCGCCATCTCGAGACCGAGAATGATATCAGCAAAGTACAGACCCACGATGGCAACGTCACGAAAGTGGTCCATGCCGATGGAACCGTCGACTACATTGATACGAAGGCCGTCGGTGGCAACTACGATGCCATGCCTGCCGGTTACTTTCGCAGCCCACAGTTCCTTGGAACGTTGACCGTATGCTAGATTGACGGGATCGATGTCTTTGGATTGAAACTGATAGGGTCTTAGGCTCAATGCCTCGCAAGTATCTGCGCATACCTGGGATGGGTACTACCTGCGAACACACTGTAAGTCTATTCATCAACAACGTTCGCTTGAAGAGATACTGACCTAATTGAAGCACACTCATCAACGCAGACCTCGGTCCCTCCAAAAACATCAACTGGGTTGCCACCATGTGGACCATGGGCAGTTCGATTGGTTTCCTTCTCGTTGGTCGACTCTCTGATCTGTACGGACGCAAGTGGATGGTACTGGGGACTTCGATCCTCGGGCTCGTCGGCTGCGTTATCGGCTCATGTGCTCAGACGGTTGAGACCCTTATTGCCGCCAATATTTGCAACGGCATCGCGGCGGCCGGGCAGTTGTCGTTTGGCATCGTCATGGGAGAGCTTGTGCCGAACAAGTGGAGAGGGCCTATCGTCACTATCGTTTTCCTTTCGTCGCTACCATTTGCTGTCTTTGGCCCCGTCATTGCTCGGTCCCTCTTTGACAACACCGTTTCAAAGTGGCGATGGAGCTACTACATGGGGGACATCCTTGGCGTACTCTCTTTGGTTCTTTACTGGTTCTTTTACCACCCGCCATCATACGATCAGCTCCATGTTCACGGGAAGACCAGACTCCAGATGACCAAGGATTTGGACTTCGTTGGCATCTTTCTCTATGTTTCCGGGTGCGTGTTGTTCCTCATAGGTCTCTCATGGGGAGGGTCCACGCATCCATGGGCGAGCGCGGAAGTACTCTGCACTCTTCTTATTGGCATCGCCACTCTTGCTGCTTTTGCCATTTATGGTAAGTGTCAAATTTGTTCTCAACGTGGTGCTTCAACTTACTTGCGGCAGAGGGTTTCTTCTGTAAAGTCCAGCCTTTGATGCCTCCAAGGATGTTCAAGAACATCGGCTTCGTCGCTATCATCGCCATCGCGACGGTCGGGGCGATGGTCTACTACTCCCTCACCGTTCTTTGGCCTACCATCATCGGCAGCATTTACACCACAGACTCGATGAAGATTGGGTGGCAGAGCTCGGTGGTCGGCGGCGGAATTCTTCTCGGCCAGACTATCGCAGGATTTACCATCTCTTACGTGCCCAAGGTAAAGTGGCAGTGCGTTGTTGCGTCAGCCTTATCATTTGCTTTCATGACTGCATTAACCACGATCTCGCCCGATCGATGGGCTGCGACGATCGCTCTGGGGACCCTGGTGTGTACCTGGATCGGCTTCGTCGACAACATTTCGTTCCCTGGAATCACACTGGTCTGGGAAGCTCAAGATATCGGGCTCGCAACAGGCGTCATGGGATCCATTCGTGGTCTTGGTGGTGCAGTTGCGCAGGCGTTGTACACGTCTGTTCTGACAAATGAGCTGAATAAGAACCTGCCAAAGTATGTGGTTCCGGCAGCAACGGAGGCAGGTCTTCCGTCTGCGTCAATCGAAGCTCTCTTCGCAGCCATCACAGCGGGTGACTTTTCGACTGTTCCGGGCATCAATGCGGACATCATTTCGGCAGTGGGGAGCGCGCTCAAGACGGCCTACACGAGCTCATTCAGGATCGTGTTCTACACAACAATCCCGTTCTCGGTCATCCTTCTGCTGAGCTCGTTTCTGGTACCGAACATGGAAAAGTTCCTCAGCTACGATGTGGCGAAAAAGCTGCAGAGCAGCGAGAAATCTGATGTTCAAGGGAAGACCGAGAAGACAACGACACCGTCTCAGGTCTGAAGTCCGTGGGTGTCGTCAGTCTAGAGTCAGCAATTGTGTTCAATGACATACCGAAGTTCTATCATCGTCGCTGTGAACAGTGCAGCCCATGATACCATTTACACTTGGCCGTCATCTCAGCTTGAAACCGTGACAGCATGCGGGGTTGAGATACACCGGGGCAGGCATCCTGTTGAAGCAGGCACAATGCGATGGGAGTTCGTGATGGGATGACAATGCACCGGGAACTGCTACTCCCTGGGCATGCCACACTCGTGACAGATCACCTGCAACTACTTCGTGGTTCCAATCGCCGGCCGGCGATATTGACAGACACCAGATCCCGACCGGTTTCTGGACCCTTGCCATCTGCTGGCGCAAGACCGGCTGGAGAAGGGCGGGAGATGACAGTCGCAAGTATGAAAAAAATGAGGGACAAAAAAAAAAAAAAAAAGGTCAGTTCCCAATCAGAGACGACCGATTTACCGCGCTACAGGTGCTCCGTCCCCTGCACTGCACAGAGACGCAAGCTCCGATGGCGGGGCATGGCGGGGTGCTATGTACCGACGTCGCTCCCTCGTCCCCAAAAAATAATCGGGCCAGGGCGCGGCACGACATGCCACTTCCCTCTTGACTCACATCACCGTCGCCCATATATCAAGCCCTCCCGCTTCTCGGACTGGTCTGTCTCTGTTTTTCTCACCTCAATTGATACCCTCGATACCCCCCGAAACCCTCAGACACCATGGGCGAATTCCCCGTCAAGAAGTGCGGTACGTGCGAACGCAATCCCGCCCAATTTGCCCCTCCCCCGCCATGAACCGCTGCCGCCCCTACGCTCCTCCGTCAACGGTACCTCAACACCACGCACACGAGACCACGATGATGAACCCCAGACTCGAGAATACACACAAATACTGACATGATCCGATAACACAGGCGTCCTTGGCTGCACCGGCTCCGTCGGCCAGCGCTTCATCCTCCTCCTCTCGCAGCACCCCTACCTCAAGCTCGTCGCAGTCGGCGCCTCCTCCCGCTCCGCCGGCAAGAAATACCGCGATGCCGTCCGCTGGAAGCAGGCCTCGCCCATGGGCCCCTTTGGCGACCTCGTCGTGCGCGAGTGCAAGGCCTCCGAGTTTGCGGACTGCGACATTGTCTTCTCCGGCCTGGACTCCGACGTCGCTGGCGAGATTGGTTCGTTCCCTTAACACACCTCTCTGTACATCGTCACAGCTAACACAATCCCTACAACAGAGATGGAATTCCTCAAGGCCAACCTCGCCGTCTTCTCCAACGCAAAGAACTACCGCCGCGACCCCCTCGTCCCCCTCGTCGTCCCCACCGTGAACCTCCCCCACCTCGACCTCATCCCCCACCAACGCGCCCAGCACAAGCTCCAAAAGGGCTTCCTGGTCTGCAACTCAAACTGCGCCGTCATCGGCCTCGTCATCCCCTTCGCCGCTCTGCAATCCGTCTTCGGCCCCGTCGACGCCGTCTCCGTCGTCACCATGCAGGCCGTCTCCGGCGCCGGCTACCCGGGCGTCTCCTCCATGGACATGATCGACAACGTCGTCCCCTTCATCTCCGGCGAGGAGGACAAGCTCGAAACCGAGGCCCAGAAGATCCTCGGCAACATCACGAGCAACCTCACCGCCTTCGAGGACCAGAAGGACCTCAAGGTCAGCGCCGCCTGCAACCGCGTCCCCGTCCTCGACGGCCACACCGCCTGCGTCTCCCTGCGCTTCGCCCGCCGCCCCGCCCCGAGCGCCGAGGACGTCAAGAAGGCCCTGCGCGAGTACGTCTCCGACGCGCAGAAGCTCGGCTGCCCCTCCGCGCCCGAGAGCCCCATCATCGTCTTCGACGAGCCCGACCGCCCCCAGCCCCGTCTGGACCGCGAGCTCGGCCGCGGGTACACCGTCAGCGTCGGCCGCGTCAGGGAGGACGAGAGCGGCATCTTCGACATCAAGTTCGTCGCCCTCAGCCACAACACCGTCATCGGCGCCGCTGGCTCTTCCATCCTCAACGCCGAGGCTGCCGTTCTCAAGGGCTTTGCTTAAAACGTTCTTGGATGGGTTTCAAAGATATACGCATATTCACATCAGGTGTCGGGCATGGGACGGGGTGCATTTTCTGGAAAGTCAAAAAAGATGTATAGGGAATCTTGGACATATATTTTACGGTAGATGAAAATGGTGCAAGCGGTTTTCGATGAGCAATTCCCCAAAACATGTGATGATCACTGCAGACTTGGAAGGTGAACGAATTACTTCAGTACTGAATTTCTACTAATTCTAAGCAGCTAGGCTCTATCTTGGGATGCCAATGACCACTTATATCTGCAGATGTATCCACGTGCTGCCTTGTCCAAGGCCGCCAAATATGTGCTTGATGCCATCTGGTTGCAAGCAACCAGCCGCTCCTTCCTAACACTGTGGTGCCATTACAAAATATTCTTTCTTCTAAATGAGTTCTTTTTCCCGTCCAACGCCTCATAATCCGTTTCTCATGCAAATTCGTTCAGGCCGGAGTGGCGGCCGTCTATGCAATGCTATGCAATAGTGCGAAGAAAAAACGCCATCAAGGCGTGTCAAAACGATGAAGTCGCAGGCTTGGCACACGGCGTCGTGGTGCCGTTGAAAACAATTGGTGTGTAGAAATCAGTTCAAGCCTTCTGGTCCTTCTCTTGGATGGGCGAAACATCCCCCTTCGTCTCAAAATACTTGTCCTCGTCTCCCTCATGGATTGGTGAGATCGTGGACTCATCCGACTTGCTGTCGCGCTTTTCGTCCGCAACCATGGCGCCAGGAGTCATAACGTGCTCCTCCGGAACCTCTTCGGTGGGCGTCATGATCCGGCGAAGCTCATTCGTTGACGCTGACCGCTCCGGAAGTTGCGTGTTGTTGTTGGATCCACGACCAAGATCTGGCTGGGATTCCGAGTGAGACACCTGTCGGAAGGAACCATTTCGTTGATGGCCGTTGCGGTGGGTAAGTGAGCCAGACCGCTCACGGGTCACCTGCTTATCCCACTCGGCGAAATCGGCTGAACTCCATGACGCGCGGTGAGAGTTTGCTCTGGCACGGCGCGGCAAGGAGTTAACCGAGTAGCGCGAACTGGCACTATTCGCTCGGTTTCTGGTCTTCGTGCCCGGTGCAAACTGAACAACCGATGCATTCACAGGCCGAATGACGTCCTCCATCTCACCCGCTTCGTGCTCATCTTCAATCTTGCGAGCTCGACGAACACTGGTTACGTTGAAGTACGGCTGTGGGGGCTCCCGAGGGGGAAGTTGGCTGTGGTCGGGTTTTGGGGGCGGAGGGAGATCGTCCGCTTTTGCTGCCATGTGCTCGTAGTATCTAATGCGAAGTCCGTCCAGCTTCTCGGGGAACTGCTCGCGGTTCCGGTTGAGCGACATCCATGACGAGATGCAACCGAGGACGATCAAAACCAACACCGCGACGACGAGGAAGCCCTGAACCACGATGATAATGATGCCAAACACTGTCGATAGGATGCGACCAATAGCAAAGGCGGGCAAGAAGGCGATGGAGAAACCGGCAGTCGCCACCTTTGCAATGCCGAGCATCCAAATCGCCAGGGAGTTGTTTCGCTGGCCCTCAAACGGGTTCAGTTTGATAAACACCAGGAAGGCGATGATCTCCCAGATGAAGAGTCCAAAGACTTGCGCAAGCGGGTTTCGGGCTCCACCGCCGACGAAGCATGCCCGAATGAATTGGTAGCCGAGCCAACACGCGAAAAACCACCATCTCGTCCGGCGGTATCGAGCAGCAAGCCAGCCGAATCGCTTAATGTACGCCTCGTCCTTGTGGACTGTCGTTCGGTTGGGGTCGTCATCAACGTAGCGAATCTTGAAGAAGGGCATCGATCCGTATCGTTTCGCTGTCGTTTCCTTCTCCCCGAGGTTGCTTGCGCGGGTTGCTGCGACAGCCGGAACCGAGCTAAATAGCTTGCCTTGCTCAAAGACGATCGTGTCAGGACCCATTTCGTACTTTCCGAGGCGTAGACGGAAGAAACAGGCATAAGCGGCTATGCCACCAACGCCCACCAGTAGTATGAGAAAGACGATGGCCGCAATAGCGGTAGGGCCGGCGGGTGCGCGGATGTTGAATTGGAACAGGGCCAAAGTCATCAGAGAGAAGAACGCAACGAGGAGCGTTCGCAGAACACCAGCCGCCAGGTACCCTCCTAGATGATTCCTGAAGTACAAGAAGCGGTCCTCGTTCATCAGCTTGAACCGTGCCATTCCATCAAGAGAGAATTTGAGAACGGTAATGGACACAGCAACAAGGCCGACTGCTACCAACCACCAGACGAGACCGATGGTGAAGGCATCCGCGGCCGGGATGCCAAGAGCTGACAGGTCTCCAGCAAATCCAATCCATTTACCAGGTGTAGGCATTCCAGGGGCTACCGGAGAGCCGGACCAGTAGTATTCGTAGGGATTGCTTGTGTTGAGCTCTCTGACAGCGAGCTTGGCGATTTGCGGAAGAGGGGCAACTTCGATGGGGGTGTCCGAGAGACTATCAAGTGAGCGCCCGTAGATCTGTTGGACTATACCGCCGCCGGTGTTGATGACCGTCGATCCTGCACCACCGACTTGACTAGCATTACCAGTCACTCCGGCAAATCCGTCAATCGAGTCAACCATTTGCTTGCTGTATATCATGCCCGCAGCCCATCCAAAGTTGCTCCACCAGGCAGGCAGAACGCTGGGCCAGTCGACAGATAGGGCGCCGGAGAAAAAGACGGTCTGGAAAGTCTCAAAGATGACAAGTACTGATAGAGAGTGGGCGTAATGCGTTCTGATGTGAGTAATGCTGACGCCGTAGATTGCAGTTGCAACCGAAGCAAGGATTGCGGCCAGAGTGAAGACGCCGAGGATCGAGGAAATGGCTGCAGGATGAGAGAAGCTGTTACCGTTCCGCATAACGGCCTGGAAGCAACCGATTTGAGTCTCGCTCGAGTTTGCAAAGATCTGGATACGGGCTGAACCTTCAAAGTCGGGGATGTCGAGGGCGATGGAGGGAATGCCATCGATCTGAGCTGGCGTGAGCCTGAACTCGGCGAAGGCAGTAATCGGAACGCTCGCATTCAAAGGGCAAAGACTACACAATGTCAGCGAGTCATTGCGAGGAGGATGCAGGGACGTTGACGCACCTCGCGATGTTGGTCATGCACGGGTTAAAGTTCATCTCGAATCTTGTCTCGCCATCTGCGCCAAGTCAGCACATCCCCATTTCTTGCATGCAAGTTCGTCTCAAGTCGGCTTACAAGCTTCGACGTTGATGTGCACTATTTCAACGTCAGTAGTCTGGAGGAAGCTGGGGGTCATTCAAGCATACTCATCAACGACTCGTTTCGGATGTTGGTTGTTCCATCGAGATGGAACTGGACCGTCATGTTGTCGGCATAGTAGGCGGCGTCGAATTTGGTGACGTTGAAAAGACTCTGTCCTCCAAGGCAGTCGCCAAAGTCGCCAGTGAACAAGGCAGGACGTCGGTTGGTGGCGAGCTCTGCGGTGTTGCCATCCTTATCCTGCCCGGTGATGTAAATGGTCTCCGTCGCAGCAAAAGCTGTCGTGAACGAGGCGAATACGGCGAGCCAACTCGCAGCAGCCGATAGTGAAGCCCCCAATCTGGCCATCCTGGGCAATCGAGGCAAGTGACGACAGAACGGTTCGGTGGGCTCGCAGGGCGAAAATGCCCGAGAAAAAAGATCGGGTGTGACGATGGACGGGTGTTATCTGGCAGCTGCAGAAGCGATGTCTAGGGTGTATCGAACCGAGCTGATGGTGAGCCAGGTCAAAGACATAGAGATGTTTCAAGCTGCGAGAAGCTGTGTTGCAGGTTGAGACTCGAGGTTGTTCGGAGGTCGCGGAAGATCGTGTACGCTCCCGAGGAGACGGAAAGCGGGTGGTGGAGAGCTCTAGGGGTGTCTCCGAGACGAAATGGAGCTGTTTTAGATGGTGTTGACCGGGATTCTCGGTACTTATTTCGTCTGTACGGTGATGACGAATGCGCAATGTTGTGGTGAGCCGGCGAAGCGGTTCTCAGTCGGAATTGGATCGCATTCACGACGTTTGGAGAAGACTGGTGATGTTTGACTCGGAGTGTTTTTGGCAGACGCGGTCGCAGCGGCGAGACGTGGCGACGAATGCTGGCAAGAAAAGGGTGTGTTGCTTTGGCGGGAGGCAGGTACAAGATATTGAAAGAAGTTGCAGGGGGGGCCTGTGATGTTCAAGAATTCCCCCAAACCGGCGGCAGACCCGATGGCAAGGATGAGTGCCCACTGCCCAGATATCCGCAAGGCGGTTCGCACCTGCAGTCTGCAGTGGTCAATCGTAGTGAACGTCAATCGCGGGAAGGAGGAGCGGCCTTCAGCAGGTCAGGGTTCATTCACCTCTCCCGGTCTGGTCAGGCAGTCTGGGGAAGAGGGAAGGATGAGGCAGGCCTGGCAGGAAGGACATGCATGGTGGAAGTCAAGTATTGGCAGGCACGGGTTGGCTGGAAAGCTCGTATTCTTAAGATGATTCTACGGCGGCAACACTGGGCGGGCTTCCTGGTTGGAATGCCCATTGCCATGTCATGGGCCTGTGGACAGCACTGCGGACGACTGTGGATGTGGACTGACATGGGTGGGTTTGGCCGTTTTCCCTCTGCACCATCACTTGCCCGAAACTGGTCGAAACTGGGATGCGAGCAGGGATAGCCCTCCCAAAGGGGACAAGACGGTAGGCGTTTAGCGGTGTTTTTGTGCACATATCTCGGCCTATCGAGCAGCCAGGCAAGGAATCTTATTGCTGCGTAAGTGCGAATCAAATGGACCTGGAAGTGATGGGCATCAGGAGCACGGAGTGAGCAAGCAACCGAGTGGTGCAGTGTAGGTACTGCGGTAGGCAGTACGGCATCCGTACCTGACAGGCAGTTGGCAGCTGCAGCGGCGCGCAGAGCTCGGGAAGGAAGCGCAAAGAAAAGAATTGAGGAAGGAATAAAAGAAGGTTGGCGCCATCTTCGCACGTGTAAACAGACTAATTCTGACCTGGCAATCTAGCTTGTCAAAGAGATACGAACCGATGGCGTTTATTGGATTGACAGAATTCCTGCTTTGGCTGCATAACTAGCTAGTGCCTACCTACCTTACTTAGGTACTCGTACCCAAGCAACCAAGCAACCACCTCAACACTTCCTACCTATGTATCTATATGCAAGAAGGTAAGCCGCCTGAGTCTGGACCTGATTTGCACCGCTCTGCTGCAGATACGCGGACACACACCTAGGTACACGACGAGCCATCGCCCGGCGATGTCACCCTGTGCGGTGCCCGTCGGTCGGTCGATTCCAGGCACTTAGCGTTTGCTGCGTTGCCCTGTACAAAACCCCCAGCGGATCGGTCGGACCGCAATGCGACGAGGGTGTGGTGATTGCCATTGCCACCACCATCTCTGCCCGCTTTTAAGCTTGCTGCTGGCGCTTCCTTCAAGGTACCTACGAATACGTTCCTATCGAAGAGGTACGTATCCATTCTCTGAGTTGTCGCTGGCCCATGCGCCATCGTGGCCGCACAGGTGCATCTTTCATCCATCTTTCAACCTTTCAACGTTATCTTATCTTTCCTTCCGCTAACGCAGTTGCCTCCTGCCAGAATCATGGGATGGGATGGGATGGGATGGGCCAGTCTGGAGCCCAGCCCTGGCTATTCCTCTCCGCTGGCGGTGCTGATTGGCGCTTGCAGCTTCGAGATAACCTCATCGCACCCTCTTCTGCGGATACAGCAGACGAATTCGCCATCGGGCTTGCGAGCCTGGAATTCGACACCTCTGTCATGTCTCGATTCGCATGCACAAATTCAAAGACCGTTGACCGGACTGAAACCAGCCACCTGAAGACTGCGGTCCACTTGTCGCCAAGCTGGAACACCATTGCCATAGCGCAGTTTGCGGCTTCAAAAAAAAAGAACACCCGTCGAGAAAGCAGCGGCCAGTCTATGGTCCATCAACGGATGCTCTTGTCTCACAGTTAGTGTTACGCGCGCTACTCCAAGCTCACCGCGGCTCTGGTGTTGCTCGAGTGCCAACCAAACGCACTCGGGGCCCCCAATCCTTCTGCAAGTCCGGCAACGTCGGGCTTGACTCTTGTCCGTCGTTCCAATCCAAGACACAAAACCCCTCGCACCCCTCACCCCACCACGGCGGGAAACCAGCATTGTCGTTCCACCCAAGGCCCATTCCCAACCACCCGGAAGCTTGCCAACAAACGTCCACCGCCCAATCTGACCGTTTTCTCTGTCCAGCAATACCAAGCCGGGATAGCCTATCCATCGCCGCTGCCAAAGACGGTCTCTTGGATCTTGGCTCCATCCAACTCCTCACCGCAGATCTTCGTGTCCATCTCCCGACCACTCGTCTGCACCGTCGCCCCGAATCCTACCTTGAAAAGCTCCGTTTCCCTCGTTGCGCCTCGCCATTGGCTGAGCAACCTTTCACCACGAGGTCTGGAAGTCTTTTGGCTCCTTCCCTGGTCTCGAAGCCGCTTGCCCTAAAACCGCCGCCACCGTTCCACGAATGGTAGTGGCGGCTGTGTTTGAGAGGTGCACAATGGATGCATTTTCCCTAGGAATAGGGCGAGTCGGATCATGTCCATTCCTCAAAAGCGATGCTGATGACGGAATCAAGCAGGTCTCAATATTTGCATTCGACATCTTCAGAAATGCATCGGCCGCATATACCCATGCTTCGTGGCTGCGCTAGTCGGCGTTAGTCTCACCATCAAGCATGCCAAATCGTGATTACGCAGAGACGGTCAAGACGGTTTCCCAACCATGACTTCACCATTTTGAACAACGCACAACCCGTGGAATTGTTCTCTTCAGTCTGGTTTCGGCTACGAATGAAGCCATCAATAGTTTGATGGCCATGATGTTGACACATGCTGCGCAAGACGATGTTGCCCGATCCGGCGGACGTATAGCCGATCTCGTCGAACAAACACATGGACAACCGCGTTGAACTCGTTGAAATGCAATGTTACTTGCCATCCTTTTTGTCGTCCTCGTCCTTGTCTATGTTACCACGATCCGTTTTGAATCATCAGAAGTTTCTGCGCGGATAACATGACCTTGCCAATTTTTCTAGAATAATCACATGTAGAGGCAGAGGCAACCTTGGACCGAGAGCTACCAGTGGTCATCGAACGGAGCCCCATTCACAAAGACGAAAGCGAGTTGAAAGATTGATGAGTCGTCGGAACCGTGAAATCAGCTCTGTCTTCGCCCGTGGGTAAACACCCGGTTTTATCATACTTACACAAGACTTCTACCAACAGCAACTCAACATCCTTCTCAGGTCCTTCTCAGGTAAACTGAAGTAGTGTTTGAGAAACTGCCCTCGCGGCCAAGGAGCGCCCCTCTAATCAGCTCTTCTAGCTAAAGGAAGTCCTCAAGCCTAAGCCCCGGCTGGAGACGTTGTTGCCTGGATTACACCTGCCGACCTAGGCCAGCTCACCGAAGTACACCAAGTGGTGCCGGCTGATGCGTCCCAAGGACATGACTTTGCGCTTCTGAGCCCCCTCACTGCAAAATGCGAAGCAGATGAAGCAAAGTTTCTCGATAAGGTTGCCGGCTCTGAGGTACTTGAGCTTCTCGCCCTAAGAGCGAGGTTCATGGCCTTACCTGGTACAGTTGCCAGACTCCGTCTCTCTTCTCTCGCCGATGGGTCCATTCAGGAGCCTGGTAGTGGAATAACACCTCTTGCGCAGGGTTCGAAGCACTCCGAGGTGCACCCCAGATGATGGCGGAGCCGTTTTCTACCGCGCAAAGTTCGGTCGTAAGATATCATACGTTGGACTCTGACCTTTTGTACGGTTGGAACATTGACATCTCGGAAATACTTTTCATTTGGCAGTCGTTAGCAACCCCCGTGACTCAGTCTCATTGGCATTGTGGCTTGAGGACATATCTGGCCCGGTTCGGCGAGCATGGCTTCGTTTGGTATGATTCTGGCGTCCCAAGCCTGTCAGTCCCAAGAAGCCATTTGGATTTACAAGACCACCAAGAGATTGGGTGAATGTTGGACGGCGTGAACCGAAGCCCGCCGGAATCACGTCTCTCCTCGTATAGAAGCAGTCACGGTGATTCAATGCAGACCCGTACGCGATCGTGGGCGCGTATAAATCGGTTTCAGCAAGGGAGAAGTTCTGCGTCGGCATGGTCCATGGTCTTCAGGTCGGACGAAGCTGACGAACGTGGGGCCGTGGGCGTACATGTCGATGGCTATATGTGCCGAAATCGTATTCATCAGCCCACGGCTAGTAATCGCCAAGTTGAAACAAAGGTGTACGCGAGAGATAGAGGAAGCGGGTCCAAGGGGATGGCGCGGAGCGACATGGACCCGGCTGCAGCGACGAAGGGTCGGGTCGGGTTGGATGAGAATACCACATGGTTGCGTATGACGTTAGCCGAGGAATATGGACAGGCAGATAAAATTATATGCCCCAAAGGCTCTATGTAACCCGGGTTTGTGCTCCCTCTTCCAACCTTCTTTTAGCTCCTGCCTACTAACCCAAGAGTCAAGCTACGGCTGGGACCATCACCAGTGTAGCGCTTTCGGTTGACTCGCCTCCAGGAGGCCAAAGCCAGGGAGAAGGAGTAGTCTGAGAAGATGGGGCGCGACGATAGCTCGGATACGGCCTCTCCTGAGAGCGGTGTAGCACAGTCTCTATCATTTTCGCTTCAAGCGGAGACGCCTGAGCAAGATCATGCCATCTAAACAGCAGGCAGTGTCTTTGGGGATTGATACCACCAGCCAGACGCCATGGAGTCGAAGCCACCCTCACCCTAAGTAGAGTTACGACAAGGCTGGCGACAAGAGGGATATCGGATATGACAGAAGCATGGCCCTGATTCGCGGCGCAGACGTCGCTGGGTGTGATGGGATCGTTGATGGTGTGTCCATTGAGGATCAGGGGCTTGGCGGCCTGTCAGATAGAACGTCTTTCTGATTCGTGCATTCTGTCAGCGCAACGATGGTCGGCGTGTAGCTATATGAGTTGGACTTCAACCATGATGAGAGGCTTGACAGCCGTTTGACCACCTTGCACCGCTCCCTCGCGTCACCGTCCCAGATACTAAGCTCCTTACAACGCATCCTCGAAGGCGCCCGTTTACTGCAGGCTCTGACCCTATAACTGCTAGTCATCTGGTCGCCGGCTATTTATGGGTTGAGGCTGAAGCTCAGGAAGGTCTTGTGCAGGGGTTATGGGTGGTCTCCTCTCCTTGGCTGCTGCCGTGATGGCGTAGGCCGAGCACATCAAGTCCGCGGTTTCCGAACAGCGGGCTTTGCTTTCAAAAGACAATGCATGGGGTACCGTAACCGCCTGGACTACACATGAGTCTATTGCAGATAAGGTGTGTGCCAGGTGTCACCCGACATCAGGCGCTGCTTCAACGATGCGTGATTCGTTTCCACCGTTCTCGTGGTAACGTCTTGTGGAGATTGCGAAGGACCATATCGCGACATACACGCCGGTTCGAGCGAGATGTGGATGAATATACCAATAAGGAACTGTTACATCCCCATGCGGCGAGGGCCCCGGTTCCAAGGACGGATACGGGCAGGGGTTGTGATAGTCAATCAGGCTGCGCTGTTTCAATATAGACCAGGCTGCGTCTTTCCGGTATAAGAAGCTTGTCGCCCCCACCAACAAGTTTCGAGGCTTTTTCACTGCGTTTCTGGCAGCCTTTTCTTTCACCGGTGCCGGCGCGCCCTCCTTTACAGCATGCGTGGCTCTACATTCGTTCGCTGGCATTGGTTGGTTGCCTTCATCATCGTCACAAACGTGCCCTCAACTCTCGCCGACGGTCCATTATTCCAACAGTTCTTTCCAGGATGGGATGGTCTCATAAAAGGGTACTTAAACGAGAGTTGCTCCGATGAACTGGGCAAATACATCGAAGACCCTATGGGTGAAGGGAAATGGATGGTGATCAACTGTTTGTTCGATGGACCGTTCTCAGAGACGCGAAAGGCAGAAGCTGCGGCCGCTGCACTCACGCTGGGTCTCGCCCCAATGGTTCTGCAGACCATTGGGCCCAACACCTCTGAGACGAGCCTCTTGTTCCTGCGAAGGCCCCTTCTTGCCTTGCTGCTCGCCATCTCGTCACCCTGGCCGCGCAACCCGGACGACAATGCCATTTACGAGAACCCATCCGTGGACTACCCGGTATGGCCTGCAATCGACAATGAACCTTCCAGAATCGTGGTTGTGTTAGTTGAGTACGTGGTGGCGATGGGTGCGGCAGCGAATGTGGCGTTGCTGGCATATCAGCTTGGCCACTGGTCGTTCTTCATGTCTGCGAACAACGTCAACGACCCAGTGTGGTGGACGTACTGCTCGTTCCTTATTCATCTGATTGGTATCCTAGGGATCTTTTTCAGGTTCAGGATGTGCAGGTCCAGAGGAGCTTTTGATCGTCAGAATAAGGCCGCCGGGAAATACTGGTTTCAACGGTGGTTTTATCGCGAGTTTCGTCCAGCGGCTTACAAGAACGAATACAACAAAATTGACGAGGAAAACGAACAGCAGAGCAACGGCAACAGCAGCAGCAGTAGCAGCAGCAGCGATGACGACGACGAGAAAAACAACAGCAACAGCAACGACAACAACAGAGAAAGCAACAAGACCAGATTGCGACTTAGGGAGAGGAAGAAAAAGCACTGGATACTGCTGTCAGTGCTAGCAACGTGGGTTCTGTCGATTGCACCAACACTGCAGGTCCTCATGGGGACGATCATGTTGTCTGGGTCGCTGCTTACCAACCAGGCTGATGCCCGCAACTGCCTGTTCAGATACGTTTGTAGTGCAATCGCTGCTCGCGCTCTGCTCTCATACGAATTCGCATATATGTCGCGCAAAGTTAAACGTCGGCGTCCGAAGTGCTGGGAGAAGGAACCGGAACAGGACTCTCAGAGTCGCTCTTCCACAAATCAACCTAAGCAAAGCTTTTTGTACAGGCCAACCTTTTCGTCTTCCAGAAGAAAGAACTCGGGGACGCTGCGCTAGGAACAACCAAGATCAACGAATGGCTGGGTGGGGGTTTGAGCTTGGAACGATTGGAGGGGGTTCGGAAGCTTCGTCACCAGCTTCTAGAAACAACCTGTGGTCGTCGGCGTATAAATGAGATTCATCTACGCTGCGATCAACTCGCGGCAGCATGGGCCATATGTCGTGGGTGACTACCATGATGTTGGCAGTGTAGTAGACGAAGTATTGCGATTAATAGAGACTAAAAGCTGTTGAACAATACAAAACTGCCGATGCACCTGAACCAGCCTCACACCGTCCTCTATCCGCCCTGTCGGTGAACTAGCTCTGGAGGATAACCTTTACCTTGCGACTCGAGAATCATCGACATCTCCTTAGCCATCCTCGAGACCGAGGATCCGGTTGCCATAATCCGCGACGCTTCTTTGTATAAACGAGGCACGCTGCGACCGCTGTGCAGGAGACCGACGCCAGTAATGTGAGGTCTCCTATGGTTTCTGACCTCCAACCAGCCGTTTAAAAGATCCGCATCAACGACTTGGTCGAGTCGGATAATCTCCGTGCTAGACGTGCTGGCGCCGACCCCGCTTCCGGCGGAATTGGGGTCTCGCTGCTCAAAGATATCTGCGTACACCACCATGTAGAGCACGCATATCAAGACGCTCAGAATGTCGAGTATTGTTGCGACTCTGGTAGTTCGAAAGTACTGAAGAACCTGCGCCGCGTAGTACAAGCAGTGCCTTGCTCTGCTGAAGTTCTGCGGTATGATGTCCAATAGTACGAGCCGGGCGTCGCTGTGGCCTGCATCTGTCGTCTGCCATTTGCTGTAGGAGTTGAGTAACCGCAACGGTGTAAATGAGCAAATGGAAAGAACTCGAGACAGTAAAGCGAAGTCGTTCGAGTTGGTGCCGGCGTCGGTTTCGCGCAGCACCTGAGAGCATCCTACTTGGGACAACGCATTGAAGGCTTTCTGGGAGAGCATTGTCCCCATTCCTAGAGCTAGACCGGGTTGACTACTTGTACTGCCGGCAGAGCCGAGTCCCATGGCTCGCAGCAAATCGCTCTCGGCAGCTTGCTGCACGATGGCCGAGAGCAGGATTGTAGACTTGATCGGTTGGTCCAGACTTGCCGGCACTACATCGCCGAGACCAACGCGTGCAATTAGAGCACAGATAGTCGATGAAGGCTGCGGTGGCGGGTGAAGGTGCCACTGCTCGTAACTCAATGACCAGTGCGCATCAGCTGTGGGCACCGGCGTTTGCAGCTCAGCAACTGAGAGCAGAGGAGGCAGCATGAAGAATGTCGCCTGGAGACACTCCCACCCTTTGTTTTGTAAGTTTATTAGCCGAGGATAAGTCTAGTGAAGATGGCTTACTCCAAGTGAAGTGGATGATGCGGCGTTTAGCTTCGGCTTGTATCCACTGGGACCACGCGTGGTTCGCGTCTTCAGCGGATGCATGCGTGTGCATCAGAGTACCCTCTCGAGACAGAAGCTGGCGACAAAGGGTGACGAGGATATTCCGGTGGAATTGCACCTCCATGACAATGTTCCACTCGCCCGAGAGCCACTGGCTTTGATGAAACAATAATAGGGATTGCGCACATGTCAAAACATCATTGCTCGATAGCTCTCGAATCTGCAATATGTTGAAGGTCTTATCAGCCCGATGTCATGACGAATAATTTGATGATGGGCCTTACGTCTCTTTTCAGCATATGCTGGGCAATTCGCTGCAGTAGTAGAACATGATCGTGATGCTGGTGCGCTAAGGAGTATCGACTGCCGAGACACACCAAACTGAGCACCAACTGCCACGTCTCAGACGACGCCTGGAATGTCGGCTTGTGTAACAAAGGCATGCGTGGATGAAAGTGCTCAAAATACAACTGCATGTATGTATCAAGGTGCCGCAGGGATGGGAAGTTGGCGTCAAGCCCTTGGGCTTCGTGCTGTGGCAGTCGGGCTTTGATGGATTGGATCATGTGTGCTCGCGTTTCTGCTGTCATAGGAGGTACATGAGGAATGTGCTCCGCGATCAGGATGTCTTCTTCTTCTGCTGTCAGGTTGTCTGGTACATTGAAAACATCAACGGCCTCTACGCCTACTCTTGGTGTTGCTTTGGCACCGAAGCTGTTTTGCACGCTCTGGTCATCCGCAGATTGACCGACGACAGCCAAGGCGGTGTCTCCGAAGCCGAAGTCTGTCGATGTCCCAGGTCCAAGAGAGGGCACCGGCGAGAAAGGAAACAGGAATTGCGCCGGGGTCAAGAGGGCATCCCAAAGGAGGTCTGGCTCGAGCGAAAGCTGGTCTGAGACGCAAGATTGCGAAGTGATGGGCTGCAGGTGCTGGCGAGGCGGAGAGAGGGCGGCGGATACGTCGCCATCGGCTGCAGGTTGCGCAACGAGGATAGTCTCGTCGTCAACAGAAGCTGGTTGGTACAAGCAGCGACGACCTTTGTTTGTACAGTTGGTACAAGGTGCCGGCCTGCGACCATCGCAGCGTTGTTTAGCTTTGGCGCAGGCTTCGCACGCACGACGTTGGTCTCGTGAGGAGTTATCATCATTGTTTTGCGTCCATTCAGCGAGGACTGCAGTGCCATGTGTGCGGACATGCCGTTTCAAGGTGTCCCTTTTCCCGCTGAAAGTCAGTCACAGACACACGAGACAAACAACATATTGAATGCGGGCTGTCCAAGGCACGGAAAATACACACCTCCGAGAGAAGGCTCTCTTGCAAATACTGCATGTGTGAGAACGGCGGCCAGAGTGGCGGTCCAGATGCCGACTTAGATGTTCGTGCCGACGGAACGTCTGCCCGCACTCGGGGCACGGCAGTGATGCGGAGGCGGTGGAGGAGGAAGGGGAAGACGGGGGGCCATTGCCGTCGCCAACGTCGTCGGCAGCGCCGTCGTTATCGGTGTTATCGCCTCTACCGGCAACTGCGGAGGCACGCGATCGCATGTTGAACGATGTAGTGAAGTGTGAAATTGCGGTATGTCTGCGGAGCAATAGGGGAAGTGTTGGGGTTCCGAAATCTCGGGGCGGCGGCGGGGGTGGGGGAACCCGAAATATGTGGAGAATGCGGCGGGCGGCGGGGGTGGAGGGATGCCGAGAAGCGACTCTCGTCTTGCACTCTACCGACCGCCACCGCAACTCGTTAGTGTTGAGGAGCTGAGGCACACTCGGTCTACTCAATCAAGCTCGGTTAAATCTGTATCAGTAGATCAAATTGCCTCACATGTGAAAGAAGTCATTACAGCTGAAACGTTATGAAAGACATCGTGTTGCTCTGAAGCCGTAGCTTGAAATCCTTTGTATTACAACCATTTTGCAATTTTCAGAAGAGTATATCCGATGTGCCCAGCTGCAGTGCAGCCACCGTGGAACCCGTCTCCCTCTCGACCGCTTGCGTAGCTGGGCTTACGTCCACCGTCCACGGCTTGATCGGCGCCTCATCGTGCAAGCACCAGATCACCTTCTTGGGCTCTCCCAGAAGCTTCGACACTTGTACCGCGAACTGCGCCGCCGACCCATCAAACGGCCTCCCGTTCAAGTTTGCCCGCCCAGCAATCGCCTGAATGAGCACGTCTGGCTGTGGCTGCACCGTCTTCAATATTCCATCGTATCCGCCCAGATGCCCGTTCCACAGCAGTGTCTTGCCCTCTCCAAACAGGAAGTTGTACATCAGCTGCCCTCCGTCAAAGTGAGACATACATCCCCTCGCCGGACCGTTGACGTAGTCGACGAATGAGCGCATGCCCGTGTCCATAGCGTCGCGAGGTATGTGGTCGCCGATCTTGAGGAGGCCGTATTTCATACCGAATGTGATATCCAGTGTGCAAGCGTACTGGCTTGCTCCTCCAATGTATTCCTTGCCTGTATCCATGATCGCAGGCACATCTGCATGCGAGCCACCAGGCATCAGACAGTGCAACGAAGGCCAGACATGGACGGAAGCCGCGGCGAGTTTAACATCTGGAGCCGCAGGTGCGCCTGGTGGCCCAGGAGCGATGTCAACTTCACCACGAGCCGCGGCTCGGCGACACTCAAGAGGGAAAAGAGGAATGCGCTCGCCACCAGATACCGGGATCAACTGGTCCTCGGGCACTCCAGTAAGCCGAAGGACGTTGATAGCTTCGCCGTTGGCAACTACATGCGCTCCGGTTTTGATTGCGATCTTGTCGGCTCCGGGAAGACTGAGAGACACCTGGTGAGCCGATTTTGTGTGTACGAACTGGCATAATTACAATGCTAGTGTGAAACTCACTGGTCAAAATGTGCGTGGGAGATGAAAATATAATCCGCGTCGGTCACATCGTCGATAGCCAACACTTTGGGCAGGACATCTGGTCGCTCAAGCCACGTGTCCAAGAAGATGACGAGGCCGTTGACTTTCACACGAAATGTAGTAGCACCTGGGTGATTGATGAGCTTCGTGAACTTCGGCTGGGCAGTCAAGAGATTCTGAATGTGGTGGCAACTTACCGAACCACTCGATTGTTGCATCCATGCTGTGAAGTTGTTGCTGCTCAGCACCGCGGAGTGGAGAACGAAGCAAGTTACAGTTCAGATTGACATGGCTTCGTCTGGATTGAATCTGATGCATCCACCTAAATATAGCCAGGTCGGAATCGGAGACCCTCCGGTGACCAAGCCCGGGGACCCCCGCAACTCCGCACCGCAAGACGAACGAGTCCCACACTCACGGCTTTGCTGACATTATCCCGTCCAAAGCGGCCTTTGCAACTACTAAACGACTTTCAGAATCCTGTCGACAAGCCGTGCCCAGCCATCATCTCTGGCTTGTGTCAATGATCCTCGCCAAGCGACAATCCCGTCGGGCCTCACAAGCACACCGCCAGACCAGTCTACACCGCGGTACTTCTCCCATTGCCCAGTCTTATCTTGCCATCCATCTTGTCCAACAACCACCACTTTCACCCTGTCGTCGTCGATCCCCTCCTCCAACGCATTCTCTACAAATAGGGTTAGTGCGTCCAAGTCCAAGAGATCACGCAATGCCACTGTCCTGTCGTCGCGCGTCACCCACGCATGGGGAAGATGATGCCCTGGAATCGTCGACATGTAATACGTGTGATGTACTAATGTGCCATCTGCGAGCTGTTGTCTTCCATGTGTCGCTCCACCTTCAGAGTTGATGTCTGCGCTTGGGTAGAACCAGCCTACTTCGTACCCTGGTGCCTTGAACTCAGTATCCAATGCTTGTGATGCCAACTGGATAAGGCGCTGCTTCTCTGCGTATTCGGGGTGTCCTTTGTCGAAGAATGACGCGCCTGCCGCGAGGTTCTCGGCTTGACTCTGCGACGCGCTAACGCCCATGACACGATCAATCTGACCTGAGTGAGAGCGCATGTTGTTGAGGCTGGTCTGTCCAACTCGTTTTCCGACCTCTGAGCGCTCTTCGTAGTAAGTGTCCAGGAGACTGTCACAATGCCTGCTTGAATCCTTGAGAGCCATGGACAGTTTCCACATAAGATTATTTGCGTCTTGTATGCCAGAGTTCATTCCCAGGGCTTTTCCAGATTCAGCATTGTCCGAAGATCATGTCACATCAGACGCGTGTGGTTTACTTACCGCCCCATGGTGGAATGCGATGAGCGCTGTCGCCCACCAGGAAATGACGTCCGACACGCCATTGCGATGCGTAAAGAGCATTCACCGTCCACTCACTTAAGGAGATCAGCTCCATGTTGAGGTCCGGTATGCCGATGGTCTTCCTCGCTCGAGCCAGTGCCGTCTCAGCATCAAACTTGGTTGGGTCATCTGCTGCCTGGGCGCAGACAAACATCCATTCCTCTATTTCTGGACTGGTCATCGCTTCTGGCCAGGGTCCCAGCTGATAAAGGTAGCCGGTGAGCGTGCTGCCGCCCATTGCCGGGTTCGTGAACCACGTTATGAAGTTGCGATTATCGGGATGCAGGGCTCTGATCGGAGAGCGAATATGTGCGCTTATCATGGTCAAGAGGTCGCCCTCGCCGCTCCATTTGACTCCCAGCTGTGTTGTGAACTGACGACCGCCATCCGCAACCATCACGTACGTCCCTCTGTGTCGGGAAATGTCACCCGTGCTGCGGTTCTTCACAGTAACTTCCGCGAAATCGCCATGATCCTCTGTCGTCAACACCTCATGGCTGTAGAAGATTTGATGAGGATTCAACTCCACGGCGCGTCGTTTCAAGATCGGTTCCAATTTTATCTGCGGCAGAATGCAGTATCTCGACGGGCTGTGCTGGGCGTACTCCGCTGCGTATTGGCCGCCTCCCCACGCATCTCTGGAGAAGACTTCTTTCCCCTCTTCTCCAAGCGACGTGTACCAGGCGGTTCGTCCGGCTATCTCGGCCGGTGCTGAGATTGCGTAGACGTCCTCTTCTACTCCCATGACACGAAGAATCTCAGTCGTACGCTGGTTGATGCCGCACGCTTTTGGATGGATTGAAGTTGACGGATGGCGTTCGAAAAGTATATTTGATATGCCTCGCAAAGACAGCAGTATGGAACATGTCAGGCCAACTGGGCCGCCACCAATGATGACAACAGGAACGACTCTATTATCCTCTTCACTGGCCATGATTGCAAGTCTCACTGGTTCATTAGCTGAATTACGCAGCGAGAGCGTGCTAACAATATATCAGATGTACGAAGAAAGCGAAGGTTAAAATGAATAGCGCAGGTGTTCCGCAGCACACCCCGCACGAGAGAACTCGCCTTACTACACTACGACGCTGCAAGGAGATTACGAAAGCACCGTGTGATTGCTTCTGGTGATGAAGCGGCGGGGTTCCCCGTTTGCTGCGGAGAATGTTTTGTTGCGGAAAATGTGCAACAACATATGCTCATTCCAGGATATCCATCACAAAAGGGGGTCGGCAAAATGAATCCCTTGTTATGCTACACTAATAACATCCTTCGCGTTTATGTACACATCAACTCAATTGCTAGATACAGATCTCCTATGTGCACTACTTCTCATGCGATACATAGTCTACCTTCACCACGGTTTTCAAACCAACAGTTTCCAAGGCTGAAACAAACCATCCCATCGCGGTCAATGCCATTCCAATGAAACTTATGATCATCTTGCCCGACACCGTCGTCAAGTCCAGCGAGGTTACAGTCTCACTGGCCTTCACCATCTTGAATGCGCGTGGGTACATCTCCGCATCGAATGTGCGCACCAAAGCGGCAAGCTCTCCATCAGACGGCACGTCCTTCTCGAATATTGCTTGGTGAAAAAGCTCGACAAGATTTCCAGCGTCAGTCAGTGCCTGGTTTGCACCCATACCTCGGCCCGGCGTCATTGGATGCACGGCGTCGCCAAGGAGGATTACCCGCGAATTCTTGTCGATACCATTCCGCCAATCCGTCTTCGGCTTGAAGGAGCTGGTCACAAGGCCTGTCCGGACAGCCTCAGTCGCCGATCGCATAATAACTTCCAAAGGTTCGCCGTAGCCCAGTTCGTTTCGGAAGTAATCTATAAGGAGAGGAATGATCTTCTGAGGATTCGAGCCGGCCTTCGCTATCAGTTCGTCTCCCCGAGCTCTAGGTATACCGACCGACCAGAACAACGTGTATGACTCTGTATCACCAGTATTAAGGTCCTTCTTGGCGTCGTAGACAGATGAGAACCCAGCAACGTCTTTTCCGCCCAAGAACATCACCGAGCCAGATTCGACGAGCGACTCGGGTAGCTCAGCCAGTACGGATCGTGAAATGGTGCCGCGAGACTGAATCAAGGTCATGGCCTCCAGCTTAATTTTGTTATTTAGGCCAACCTGTCGGTTGACCTGGCTGCCGCTGCCGTCTGATGCGATGAGAATGTCGGCCTCCTGTGAAGCTTGGCCATCGAAGTGCAGCAGCACGCCACATTGCTCGCCCGGCATGAGCTCAAAGCGCGTGAAGGTATGGCTGAAGTGGACCCGCCCTTGAACGAGTAACGGCTGCAGGAGAGCACCACGCAGTCCTGTTCTGGGTATGGCCTGACTCTTGGGATACAACTTGAGATCGCCTAAGCGTAGGCGAGCCGCGAAAGTCTTGGGGTCAACAATCGTGGGCGCTTCCGCCTGATCACCAGCCCAAACCTCGCGGATCAAGGACCAAAGTTCAGGGTCGGAGACTGTCTTCAGAGCGTTCAAGCCATTGGCACTGATGCGGAGCTGATACCCGCCACGCTCTGAGTTGAATGCAATCGTGTCGCGTTCGAAGACCTGGACATCGAATCTTACAGCTGGGTCTTTCAGCAAGCCGTTGGCGACGGCAAGGCCAGAAATGCCTGCGCCGATGATGGCGACTCGAATTTTGCGATGATTCCCTTCGTGAGGAAGAAACTTGGACGAGGCCATGGTGACTTATATGGTTAAAGTGAATGAAAGGGCTATATGCGTAACAACGAACCGCGGTAGTTAGAATGAAGAGAAACTTCCCATCTCGGAAGCCATGAGGTCTATCTAAAGTAACTGTCACCTGTGCCAAGAGGCCCGCATTATGGCCTGGTTGAGTTGCTCTGGAGGCACGGCACAACACCACATCGGAATACCCCACAATGCGGAGGCGTCCGTACGAAGCACGGAACCCTGGACGACGGCGTCATGTCCTTCTCCTCACCGTAAAAGCACCCACCCACCGTACGAGCGCTTGTTGTGTGCTGCCAGCATACAACGCATCTGACGTCCGGAGACACACAACAGCCATGGCAACAATCAACATTTCAGGAATAGCCATACCCCGCCTATGCTTCGGAGTGGGAACCCTCATGAAGTGGGCACCCGGCCACACTCACCCACTTCCTACGGACAGCAGCGTCGAAATTCAACAGGCAATTGACGCTGGCTTCCGCCACTTCAATACTGGCGATATCTACACCAACAACGACAGCTTTGCGAAAGTCCTCCGCCGCAGCAATCTCAAACGCTCCGAGATCTTCCTATCCTTAAAGATCAACACCTACGCATTGTTAGGATGTCGAGGGCGCGATCATATGATCCAAGCCGTAAAGCAGGAGGTTGAGCGGTTTGGGATGTTAGAAGGTTATGTCGACATTCTGCAGTTGCACTTCCCGCCCCGCGGTTACGCTGAGAACATGACAAATCGCGAGGCATGGCGTGTGCTGGAAGACCTCAAGGACCAGGGAGTTGCTCGGATTATTGGTGTGTCGAATTGGTATGTTGTCAACAACACGACAGTGTGGTGTAAGCAGATCAAGGCTCACAGGCGCGACTTGTAGGACCTTGCCCGATTACCATGACATCTTCAACGCCAGCGACCTCAAGCACCCTCCGCAGCTGAACGAGTACGAATTCAATCCATTCTTGCTGTCTGACCCCAAATTTCGGCAACTCCGCGAGTTCGAAGTCAAGCACAATGTTGTCGCAATGAGTATGAACACCATCCAGCCAAGTCTTTGGGGAATGAATCTCCCAAGCTGACAGCCGCGCAGACTACGGGATTTTGACACCCATCAACGGTCGCTTGGCTAGTAAAGATAGCACAGCATTGTCACAGAAGTTAGAAGAGCAGTCGAAGCAGACGAAGCTGTCCACAGCTGATCTGCTGCTCAGCTGGGCATACTACAGGCTTGGCGGCATTCTTGTGACATCTACATCGAAGGCAGACCGCGCTAGAAAGACCTTCGAGCTTCTTTCGACTAAGGATGCGCCAGTCAACGATCAGATCTACGAGGAGATAGAGAAGGCAGCAGCACTGGATGGCCCCGAAGGTAAGGTGTTCTATGGCCATCCTCACATGGAGAAAGCTCGCCAGGAGCATGTGAGCGCTCAGAAGTAGGACAGCAAGTAGTAACATCAACATCCACACCTACCAACGTGAGATGGCTTGGACACCTCATCCTTCATAGTCATTGGATCACACGTGAGCCTTTAAACCATGTGCGCTGCCAACCGAAACGTTTCGCTACAGTTGCGTCTTCTACTGTTTTAATGTAGGCTACTGAAGTCTCATGATATGACTTCAACCCCGCGTTGACATTCTCTTCTACAAGAGAGTTCAACTACCCCACCGCCACTTACCATGAGAGTTTCGGCACCCCACCACATCCTGCGACGTCACTAGTGTTTCCCCGCGCACTCATTTCTCAGGAACCATACGTTATAAGCTTTGCCTACACTACGAATTTCCAAACAAAGCATCTCCAGGCGAAAATTGCCATGTCTTATTTTATGCTCTTTGGTTCTCTCGCGCTCCTTGCCATCAGCTGGCTGCTCAGCCACATCCATTCATGTCTTTCGCTCCCTGGAGCGTACGGACCTGCACTCGCCAAATGGACTGACGCATGGTACATCTGGAAATTATGGCAGGGCAAGTATGAGGCATACGACATTGAAGCACACAGGGATGGCTGTAAGTGACTACTATTTGGCTCTACTCACTTCCTGGCCCGTTGTTAACGACCACCAAAGCCAGGAAGATCGTTCGCATCGGGCCTCGCATGTACAGCATTGATGATCCATCCATGGCCCGTGTAATCTATGGCATCTCATCTCCTTTACCAAAAAGCAAATGGTACGATGCCTGGGGAGATCCTCGCATCCCGAATCACAACCTCTTCAGCGCGCGCGATCGCGCCGTGCATGGCCTCATGCGCCGAAAAGTCGCCAGCATGTACTCCATGTCGACAATCAAGTCCTACGAGCCCTATGTGGACAGCTGTGTTGCGCTTCTTCTGAAGCGTTTCGATGAGTTCGCCGAAAGCGGAGAGACGTTCGACCTGCAGCAGTGGATGCAGTGCTATGCATTCGATGTGATCGGTGAGATCACGGTGAGTTTGGTGTTGGCTTGCTTGCCCGATTGCATCAATTTCTGACTTTCATGACAGTTCGGCAGGCGAGTGGGTTTCTTGGAATCTGGCGGGCAAGATGTCGACGGCATCATGCGAGGTCTAGAAAACGCCAATGCGTTTTCCACACTTTCGGGCGTCAACGCTGTCTTACTGCCAATACTTTTTATCCTTTACGGTAACCCTGTTCGTGGCATCGAAAGTTTTGCGCGAAAGCTCCAATCTGAGAGCGATGAAATTGACATCAAGGAAAAGCATGGCGGAGAGACCTTCCTGGCAAAAGTTCAACGACTGCGGAAGGAAGACCCGGAGGAATACGAAAAATTTCGTATCCGAACGATTACTCTGACAGGAAACGTCGCAGCCGGAAGTGACACCACAAGCATCTCTCTAACAAGTGCGCTATACCACCTCCTCACCACAAATCGTGTCGCAGAGCGCTTGCACGAAGAGCTCGATGCTCAAGGCTTCTGCTCTACTCTCGACGAACATTTCACTTTTGACCAAGCCCAGCAACTTCCGTACCTCCAGATGGTCATCAAAGAAGCCCTGCGACTCCATCCAGCCGTCGGCCTGCCCATGTGGCGCGAAGTCGTAGGGCCAGGTCTGGACGTCGATGGAACCCATTTTCCACCTGGGGTACGTCCTTACAACATGGCACAGCCGCAGGAAATTTCACTGACAACTTTTGACAGGCACTCGTCGGTATCAATCCCTGGGTAGCGCACCGGAACGCAGATGTCTTTGGCACAAACGCCACAGACTTCGTACCAGAACGGTGGGATCCCAAACACATCTCCTCGGAGACGTTAGCGGCCATGGAGCAGTACTACCTGCCTTTCGGAGCGGGCGCAAGGACCTGCATAGGGAAGCATATATCACACCTGGAGATGGTGAAGTTGATCTCAGAGCTGATCAGACGGTATGAGTTAAAGTGTATCGGTGGGGAATTGAAGACTTTGAATAGGTGGTTTGTAAAGCCGCAGAAAGTGCTCTTCAGCGTCAGGCGAAGAAGAACTAGAGCTTGAGTTTGCATAGCACAGTAAGGGGTTTACAAATTGTCTCATAGGCAAAGGGAAGTTAAGAAGTCCCCACCCATTATTGCGGGCGGTATGCCATAATGCTGTAGTCTTAGACAACTCTTGCGTGGCGTCCCACTATTCCAGTGTTATAACTGACCACAACTCAAGCTCACAAGCTAATTCTGGATCCTCTAGGTCAAGTTTAAGAACGGCTTGATGTCTGGAGAGTACACAAATTGTACATCTTCCTGGTTACTTGTGCGATTCAAGCCAGCTGCTTGGTCAACTTGTCTTTCTTCCCTTCTAACTTTTTTCTTCACAGTTTGCCGCCTTTGGTCAACTTGTAAAACCAAGCCACGTCGCATCATAGACGACAACGGAACCAGGCTTGTTCTCCTTCTCCCCCCACCAGTGGCTCCTCCCATCGCAAGTCAAAGAGTTCAGCACATCCTTGCTCATCCCGGCTTCTGACCTGGATGCGGCGCGTCTCCGATTGCGGGGGCGGGGGCCCGTACTTGGAGCATCGCAAAACGAAACTGGGGATTGCGGAGTTCTTATTTGGTAGTATACTTTATAATACGTAGAAATCTGCGTTTATGTCTCCAAAACCCCGGTCTTTTCATTATTATTGTGTGTTGAATTACGAAGAACTTCCCGCCATGGCACAAACTGCACAGCCGTTCTCTGTACCCGTCTTGTTTACCGAGCTCGACCATGAGCCAAAGAATACCTGGGTTGCCTATGGCTCTTATGAGAGGCGAATCATTGCTAAAGGATGGGCCAAAGAAGAGGGTCGCAAGGCTTTTGCCGTCGATACGGTCTGGGAGAAGGATGTCCGCATTCCGCTCCGAGATGGTGTCGAGCTCTTGGCTGACGTTTTTCGTCCGCTGACATCTGACGACAAGCCTGTCCCAGCCATCATGCCCTGGAGCCCATATGGCAAGACTGGAACCGGTATACTGCAGCTCGACATGTTCCCGTGGAGAGTCGGCGTGCCTCGCTCTGCGACGAGTGGTCTGGAAAAGTGGGAGGCTCCTGACCCTGCTGAATGGGTCGCCCGCGGTTACGCTGTTGTCAATATCGACGCTCGAGGGTCGTTCAAATCCGGCGGGGATCTTCACGTGTACGGAACCCAAGAAGGCCGTGACGGATATGACTGTATTGAGTGGATTGCGCAGCAACCATGGTGCAACAAGAGGGTCGCCATGGCCGGGAACTCGTGGCTTGCGACAACGCAGTGGTTCATCGCTGCTGAGCAGCCTCCTCATCTGACTTGCATGGCACCTTGGGAAGGACTCGGAGATTACTACAGGGAGTCTATCTGTCGTGGCGGCATTCCTGACCATGCTTTCTGGGACGTGTTGATGGGGTGGGCATGCGGTAAGCGTTGGGTGTTTCTCATGTGGGTGTTATTTACGAGCCTTTTCTAACGTAAAGTTTGTCATAGGACCTGGGATGCGCGAGGATGTTGGCGCGATGGTGGAAAAGTATGGTACTTGGAACGACTACTGGGAAGACAAGAAGCCGAAGCTCCGCAACATTACTGTTCCGATGTATGCCACTGCCAGCTTCTCAACTGGACTGCATACTGAGGGGTCAGTCAGAGAATTCCAGCTCTCTCGATCATCTGAAAAATGGTACGTCTACCGTCGGGGTGAAGCGTACTAACATCCACTTCAATTACTGAAACGCCGGAGTAGGTTGCGCTGGACTACAACCCAGGAATGGCACGACATTTATAAGCAAGAGAATCTTGACGACTTACAGCGATTCTTCGACAAGTACATGCTCGACAAAGGCAATGGCTGGGAGACTACGCCCAGGGTCGGATACTCATTGCTGGGCTACAATCGGCCAAGCATAGTCAACCAATCGGCTCCTCAGTTTCCGCCGGCCAAGTTCAGGTACGAAACCTTGTTCCTCGATGCGACGGAGGGCGTTCTAGGACATCAAAAGCCCTCGACTGAGGGCGTGGTTGAATACCAGGCGGATTCGCCTTCCGACGATGGATGGTCATTCCTCCACACCTTCGATGGGTACACCGAACTTTGTGGTGTATCGAAGGCCAAAGTGTACATGTCAACACTTGATCATGACGATATGGTAAGCTCTCCCAGTGCAAGGAGGTCATGTGTGTGCATACATCATAACGCTTAATACTGAACGATCTCCCGCAGGATGTCTACGTCGTGCTACGCAAGCTCGATAAGAACGGCAAAGCACTGTGGCACCAGAACATTCCCATGGAAGACCTCCCAAAGGGCACAACAGCTGACGATATTCCGAATGAGAACATATGGTAAGTAACAACCGTGCTTAAGTTTATCATCGTAGTCAGAAATCATGCGCTCTAAGGGCTTCTGACACTGACGAACCATGTACAGGCGCTACATTGGGCCCAACGGCCGTCTTCGTGCATCGCATCGCGCCATCGCAAATGAGTCGCTTGAGGGCCTTAGTCAAGATGCATACCAGGGACTAATGGGACCCGCGTACGTGTACCATCCACATACCGCACCACAAGCATTACATCGCGGCGAAGTTGTCGAGCTTGAGATTAGTCTTTGGGCCGGAGGTATGATCTTTGATGCTGGAGAATCTATGAGGCTCGAGCTGAAGGGTCGGCTCCCCATTGTGCCAGAGTTTGAGGGTCTGGACAAGCGCATTGTGAATCATAATGTTGGGCGGCATAGACTGCACACAGGTGGGAGATATGAGTCTCAGTTCTTAGTGAACCTGTGGAGGAGCGGTAAGTAAGGGCCAGACAGAATCGGTGTTTGACGTAGCTATTCTCATGTGAACATTGCTTGAATCAAGCCAACCAAGACATTTTCAGACTGACTTGCAGGTTGTATGTCTTCCAAGAAGGCTGAGTATAGTCACGTCGTCGGGTGTCAGCTAGCTAAATGAGAAGACTCACGGGTGCATGACAATATCTAAAAGAGCGTCGTGTCTTACATTCGTAATTTAAGTGAATCCCTAAAGCCAGTCGTCCCAAATGATGGCTTGGCAATGATGGCTTGGGAGGGATTTGCCACGACCTTTCGAGACATCTTCGCCTGTCCGCCCATGATCCTATTTCGATCATCGCACCGGAACTCAAGCATTTTGTGTCACTATTCAGGCCCGACACAATGCGCAGTCCTTGGAGACATTTACTCCGAAGGCACTTGGCTTCGGCACGTCCGTGGGCATATAGATCGAGATCGGTATGAACGACATTACGGCGGCTTGGCATGCCGGTGGCATGAAATATTCAAGTCAACAGCAGTAACAGTACTATAGCATCTGGAAACGCCCCTTCGGTCCATTTCTGAAGTAACACATTAACGTATCCATTGGAACATTCTCGAGTCTTGGTAGGGGCGATTGAGTTGTCGGTGACGATCAACCCAACCACCATTCAAAGTCAACTCCAACTACCTCCTCTACCACATACGACCATACCCATTGGAAAACTCGGGATCCCGTCCGCTCTCCCATAGATAAACCAATGAGGGCTGGAGTAGTAGTCGGGTCGGTGACGACCGGCGAATGCCCGGTGTTGTATGTCTTTTTTTTTTTTTTGCATGTGTTAGGTACTCAACTAGGGCGTCAATGCCTTCTTTTCAATTCCTGTGACAACCCACTTAAGACTTTTTGTCTTGGATATGCTGTCTTTCAAAATAAATCCTAGCTATTGGATATTGACTTGGGAGTCGTGGTTTTAGGCTTGAACATCTCTTGTGGACCAGGAACTTGGCTGGCCACGATCACAGGGAACCCTAACCCCCTTGGTGACGTGTCAGCCTTTTCGAGCCTTGGCTGCTGTCCTGCACACAACTAAACTAGGGTATGTAGCTGTAGATGAGCAGACTGCTGCGGCTCATGTCTACAAATCCTAACAAGTTGGGCGATTGCCCCAGCTATATAGCCCTTCGGTCAGTTCAACAACATACATAGAACAACTTGCTTGCATTCTCAAGGTCACATTTACAATGAAATGAACGAGCTGAGATTGACTGAAATGATGCATTTTGTGGCTAGAACGAAGATGGTATATTGACGAGTTGAAAAAACAATTGAACGAGTTTAGCAGGTTTGGCAGACGTTACCACTGCAGACCTGCCCTTTGTCTGCGCACGACTCAAACTAGATATCAAATGTCAGCTTGACTTGCTCTGAAGCTCCACACAATGTGAGGCAATGGACTTACGAAGTTCCATGTCATCTTGTCCCTGCCCGGGAAAACGTTACACTGTACGATATTGTTCCCAGAGCACCCAAACGCGTCCTTGTATACGCAGTCTTTGCCCTGATCGGCTTGCATCGCGACCGTTTCGCAGTTTCCGGTGTTGCAGATTTGTCCTTTATCGGGGCATGATGTCTCCTACGTAGAAAGGTCAGCTTTTGCTGTTCTTGTTGGAGCATGGCTCTGAACAGGGAGCTTACAAAGTTCCAGGTCATCCCACTGCCGCCTGGGAGAACATAGCACTTTACAACGTTGTCGCCTGAACAGTCTATGGCATCCTGAGTATCGCAGCCTTTGCCTTGGTCTGCCGCCAATGCGGCCGTGGCGAATAGTGGAAGGAGGAAGGAGAAGCGCATTGTGAGAATTGATGTGTAAGAGGGCAGTTGTTCAATGACGAATGACGAAGTGTAGTAATGACGATGGAGTTGAGGTGATTACGTCTGATCTTTGTAAATGCGGAAAGTCGGGCCCACGCACCTGGGCAGGCCATGTTCTTTAACTCTCTTGACCGGTAACATTAGAGCAACTCCCGTAAACTAGAGTTTGCACAATTTTCGATAACACATCGAATTTGTCTTGGCATTCAGGTACAATCCCATTAGTCGGATAGGCCGATGAGCATAATTGAAAATTTTATGCATAAGCGAGTCAGGAACCGTCTACTGCCTCGCATTTTTAATAGGGGAAATGAAGATCATAGGTGCATTGACATAATTTTCTAAGGCCCTTCACAGCCACGTTGATTAATTCGAGACTCGAGTCAGTTATGAAAATG